CATCCTTGGAGACACACAAAAGCCGTCTGGAGACCATCCTGGGCAACCAGCTCTGGAGGGCCCTGCTGGAGCAGGGGGGTTGGACCAGCTCACCTGGGGAGGTGCCTCCCAACCTCAACCGTTCTGTGACCCTTCCCCTTGGAAATCAGACGCCAGACTGCGCTGACGGGTCCAGCCCACATCTACCTTTCCGAGTTAACAAAAGGAGAGAAAAACGGTCCAAGAAGCTCCCCCACCCCCGGCAGCGGAGCTGACAGCGCTACCCAGCCGTGCCTGCGGCACCCCACGGCCCCGTTTACCCCCCGCAAGATGTCCCCGCCGCCCGCCCGCCCAGGAGGGCCCTCTTCGCCCCTCGCACAGGGCGCTGCCGGAGCCCCAGGGCGGAGCGGCCCCACCGCCGCCGTCGCTCCCGGCCCTCAGCCCGGTACCGGCCTGCAGGGGGCCGGGCCCCCTCCCCAGCGATCCCCCAGGTCCCCGCCGCTGTGAGGGGGCGCTGAGGGGAGGGGCCCCGCCGGCGCCCTTTGTTTGGCAGCCCGTGCCCTTCCCCTGTCCTTCCCTGCCCGGCCCGCGCCGTTCCCCGCTCCCCGCTTCCCTCTCGCCGCTCACCTCACAGCCGGCGGGACTCGGCCCCTGCGGGCGGCTCCCCGGGCCCTGCCGGAGACTGACAGGGAGGCGGCGACCCCGAGCGCTCCTCACTTCCCCTCAGCAGCCGCCGCCATCTTACCTCCCTCTGCCCGCCCCCCCCTCACACCGGGCTGGTCACGTGGGCGGGGGGGGCGGCACCGCCCACCGCCCTGAGGGAGGGCGGCCGCTGCCCGGCTCCTCTCAGCGCCGGCCCGGGGAGCCTTCCCTCCGACAGCCCCGCAGGGCTGCGGCGGTAATAGCCCTGTGCGAGCAGCTAATGACGGGGGACCCAGGAAAACCCTGCCCTGGAGGCCTGGCGGCAGCGAGTCACCCGGCGGTAATGGCGGGGGGAGGTGCCGGCTGGCGGGGCTGAGGGCCCGGCTCTGCTCCCCTCGGGATGGGCAGCGCCGTGGGGCGGACCTAGAGCGCCGTCACCCCCAGGCTGCCTTCTGAAAGAAAAGTCTTTGTTAGCAGTTGCCACCTGACGGATAAAGCCAACGAAAGTGTGGTTTGCAGCCTCGCCGTGAGGACTGCCACTGGTAAATATGAAAAAAATAATAATTCCCACCTCACGACACACCTTGGTGTTCACCAGCTTCTCCCAGAGCTCCACCCACCCACCTTCGCAGGTATTTTGAACAAAATTCACCTCACAACACAGGGCTGTGGGCTTCCCAGGCTGTTTCCGAAGTGTTTACAACCACATGGATGATAATTCTTCAGTCTGTGATGATAAAACACATCCTGACTGTAAATGGTCACTTCCATGGAGGATGAATGAATCCCTGCAGTTACTGCTGAGCTGAAAAGTCCTCACTCTGCTACCCGAACGTATGCACACAGGCCATTACTCAAGGATGAGTGGTCCTGATGGTTCCAGCATCCATATATCTTACGTACATAAGAGAAACTTGTCTGATTAGACTGTTTATACTAGCCTCCTAAGATTTATGGATTTTCAAATATTTTCAAAAAACTTTTTTTCAGCATTTATACAAAAAATGCATAGTAATCTCTCACTTCATGACCTCCTCAGCAAACAAATCCTTATTCCAGTATCACAGCTTTCCACCCATCAGGTCTCAGCTGTGTTCTTCACCCCACACCTACCAATTTATCAGGCAGAGACAGTAGCTCCTTCCCTTCTGTGTACAAGGGAACTGTACACACACTGGGAATATGGAGGCAGGGAAAGCGGAGTTTTCTGCATTGTTCTTCACTTTCTTCCCTTTTTGCTACAGATCAATCCAACTCCTGACATTCTCGTGCCATCTGATCCGATTAGGGAAAAGACAAGGCACTGTTAGGATCACTGAGAGTTAGGATTTCACACGAAGTATTCCACTTGCCAAAAACTTCTTTTTGTTTGTTGGTAAAGCATATAAATAATCTCTTAACAGTTGTCCCCAAAAAACTTTTGTCATATCATTAATATAGTTGAAGTGACAATTAATTCAGAGTAGAACTTTTCTAGAGTCTGTAAAGTGCAGAAATACTTGATTTTTATGATGCTTTTTAAAAACGTAGTAAGTGCTGATGTTTGTGAGCTGCTGCAGTAGAGCATATAATCCTACAAAAAAACCCTGTTCTTCCAAGCCATTTTCTTTTCTCTTTCCAGCTTCTCCATCTCCTACAGGATTTCACAGAATCACAGAATGGTTGAGGTTGAAATGGACCTCTGGAGGTCCCTTCTTTGCAGCAAGGGCACATTGCTGGCTCATGTTCAACTTGGTGTGGACCCCCATACCCTTCTCCGCAAAGCTGCTTTCTAGCTGGGTGGCCACCAGCACATAGTGGTGTATTGGGTTATCCTGGCACTTCTCCTCATCAAACTTCATGAGGTTCCCGTCAGCCCATTTCTCCAGCCTATGGGTAGCCTCATGAACCTCTGGTCTATCAGCCACTCCTCCCAGCTTAGTGTCATCAGCAACCTTGCTGAGGGTACACTCTGCCCCATCATCCAGATCAGCAATGAAGATGTTAAAGAGGGTTGGTTCCGGTATCCACTGCTCCCACTCAACTTCATGCTACTGGCCACCACCTTCTGGGCCCGGCCATTCAGGCTGTTTCCAATCCACTTTGTTGTCTGCTCATCCAGCCCATGTGTCATCAGCTTGTCTATGGGGATCTTACAGGAGGCAGTGTCCAAAGCTCTTCTGAAGTCCAGGTAGACAATATCCACTGCTCTCCCCTCATCGATCAAGACAAACATTTCATCATATAAATTTATCAAGTTGGTCAAGCACAACTTCCCCTTGGTGAATCCATGCTGACAACTTCCAATCACCTTCTTGTCCTTCAAGTGCCTGAAAATTGTTTCCAGGATTAGCTAATATTCAATACGCTAAAATCATGGATGAAATTTAGGCAAGACTCACAAAAAACCCCCAAACACCCAAAACATTCAGTGCATTTTTCAAGTAATTCTTAACCTTTCTGTTTAGCTTCCATTATAACTGATGTATGATTTTAACCTTTTAATTTTTAAAAGAACTGAAAAGCTTAACCGTCACAGTAACCAAGCTTGTCTCAGGCACAAAATTACCACACTATTTCAGATTTTAACATCTACCTAATACAAATATAAACTAAAAATTACTGCTGTGCTTTAATGATTAATACGCTTATTATCCTACTGATTATACTTACCGTAATACTTAAAAATGTTTTCTTTCCTTGTCCAGTTTCCTCAACTTAAATTGATCGAAATCATGACCAGTATAATTAACTATCAAGCAAGTAGTTTACGTGTCCCATTGGGAAATCACTGGGAAAGCATTGCTTTAAGCACGTCTCATACAAGAGTGTTTTGGTTTTTATCCCATGCTTGATTTCTATTTAAATGGTTTTCTCATAACAGCAGAATAACTAGAATAAAAGTGTGGAGAGTCCTTTTACAGCTACAGCTTATTACATTTGGAAATACAATTAATAACTCCCACAGAGAAATAACTTATGCTCCTGTGGATGACCATCCTAGGAAGATCTGCAGGATGAACTGGCAAACCTTGCTGAGGGTACAGGTCTCCAACTCTAATCCAGTCAGTCAGTTGCAGACATCCTTCCCCCAGAACTACTTCTGTATTCCATACCGAAACATCCTGCATCTCATCAGGAAGTTACTCAGATGGAATTAAGTTAATTATAGGCACAGGAAAGTATCTGCTGGCTCCAGGATGTTCTTAATCAGGACTCTTTCTCTGTAGCACCTTAAAAGAGCAGAGTTAAAAATTTTTATCATAGGAATAATTGGATTCACCAACAAGCCTTAGCATCCTGAAGTAGCAACAGAAAACTTATCTCAATCTGTTCAAGTAAGTTTTTCAGTAAATGCAGTAACCAGTGTTTAGTACATTAAGATACTTTCCAAATTCCTGACCAACTCCATTGTGAACGTGTATTTGAGAAGGCAATTTCCGTTGCTGTTCCTAACTTCTGGCTGAAAGGACAAACATCACCAGAGCTTCAAAAATGGCATCTGTAGTCCTTTATGTTGAAATGGCAAGTATTTTTATCTCCCACGATACAGCTTGCTAAAAAAGAATTCTAAACACACAAGGCTTAAAAATACCATTAATACAGTAGGGCCTTTCAGGAGCCCAACACGTACATTCCAGTATTCCTCTACGGTGGGACCATTTGCACAAAGATCTTTGTAAAGAGGTCAAAGAAGTTACACTGGCTTTACGAAGTTTGTACTGAGGCAGAATTAATACCAGATCCAAGAGAAGAGAGGAAACGGTTGCGTATGAGACAGGAAGTGATGGAAACAGCCCCTGTTTAGTAGTGATGTGTAACATCTTTTCTATAACAATTTAAATGCACATGGAACAGAACCTGTAGGTCAAGGTGTCTCAGCCTGCTTTACTGTCACCAGCCAACAGAAACTTTCATAGCAGAGGCCTATAGCTGAGTTTCAAAAAGCAAAAAAACGTGTATATGGGGTGCACATTCAGTCCTGCTTCTTTGAAATCATCAATTAAATAAGCAGCTTGTTCAAAACATTGATTTTGATTTGTTAGTTATGTTGTTTCAATGTATCAAGCTAAAAACACCCAAGTCATCATATTCATGTTTGAGGTGGATATTTTAAAGTACCTTTCCCAAGTAACAAGACACTACACTTGAGATGCTACTTACCAGCTCTACTGGAAAATGATTATATAAATACATTTCTATAAAAGCTATAGAGAACAAATGGGATAAAAGCAATTTTGAAATATAATATTCCAAATAACAGTGTAAGCGCATGTGTTGTAGCGTTTAGTAATCTATACAGGAAAGAAGAAACCACATTAAAATAATGTTGTTCTTTAGTGCTCATTAAAGACAGACAGACACCAAAGAATTTACAAAAACAAGCTCACTTTTTTTTAAACTACAGTTTAATCAGATTTAAAGACACAAATTAGAAAAAAACATTTATAGGCAAGTTAAAAACACCTTTAAAACATAACAGCATGCTGCTTCTGCAGCACTGCTGAGACAAATTAGAAATAAGTAATTATTAAAATATCACAATCACAGTGTAACTAACAGTGGTATTTGCATTTTACCATACACCAACACTTAGTTTATGGATCTGTTGAAAAATAACACTTTTTAAAAAATATATATTTTGGAATAATAAAAATGAAATTCACCGACAATGCATTATATTCTGAACCAGGAAAGGCAAATTTAGGAATACTGTAGCTATCCACTTTTAGGGGTGTCTTCTCACCTTAAACATATGGGTAGTCGGAGGCGTAACTACTTCTGCATTGAGGTAAAACTATTCCCTTGAATGTGTAACCAAGGCAGGAAAGAACAAAGTTCCATGTTTTAAATTCTTAAATCGAATAACTTATTACAACATCTTTGAATAATGCTATATTTACCCATCTTACACTATTTTTCATTCAATACATTTCAAATGTTCTCTTCTAACTGATCTAGAACACATCTGAGGTCTGGGATTTAAGAGTAACTACCTAATTACTATTTTATCATTTTGACACCTTTGTCACAGTAAGACACATCAGCAGATTCTTCATAGAAATAGTCAACACCACTGGACAAAAGAAGGTACAAAGAAAAGATGTAAAGAGAACTGATAAACACATAGAAAGGCAAAATATGCGTAGGCAAATACTGCTTAACTTATTGTGACAAAAGATTGTTGCACCTTTAATACGTAGTGTCGCGCTCTTCTGATTACCTGTCTCTAGGCACCCTGTTCCTCTCTTATTTTGTTTCAGGTAACATCTTCCCAGTTTGGAAGCCTCACCCAACTACAGCATGGACCACAGCTACTTGTTCGTATGACATACTGTAGTGAAACCTAAATGAAAATTCAGCTTGGGGTATTCCTCCCTCAGAGAATGAAAGGAAGGAAGAGGATTGTGCAGAGGTCTTTTGCCAAGAGGTTGGTTTGGAATAAGGTGCTGGACTGAGTCACTATTAATATAAAAAGTTTCCTCCAAAAGTGGCCCTAACGCAGATTCCAGTCATGTATCTGAAGTCAAGTTTTGTATTCATAACCTGCAGCAGAATATCCTGTAAGGGTTGGTTTTGCAACAGAGCGAAAGAAGCTCTTTACTTTCCACTTAAAGTCTAACCAACAGATTCTATTTCCACTTTAGGAAGCAGAAAGCTCTGTACTCTTGAGAATGGAGCCCAACAAGCCTTCAGCACAGGTCACGTACAACTGGACGGCTCAACACTAGTCGCGTGTAAATATTGATATGGCCTATTTTAAGTATATTTATGCACACTACATGTAACTACAGTTTGTCAGTTCATAAAGTTTACACAATGTTTATATGGATATGTACATGGATTTAGACAATCTAAAAATGTCTAAAACCAAAACCAGGCCAATGTCACTGGACACACAGCTAATGCACAGAAGAAAATGAAGTGGCAAAATTTACTTTTGCACATTTATATACCTAAAGTGAGCAAAATAATGTTTTAAATATTTAATGGGATGAAAATTGTTACAGTTAGTGGTTAGGTTTTGTAAAAAACATACAACAAGCTCACCTCAAAACAAGTTTTTAAGAAATTAAGTACTTTTTTTTTTTCATTTAGTTTTGACCATAAACTGTTGCAACTGTTGCAATATTTGCAGTTGTAACCTTGCAGGGTGACTTTGTGGATGCCTGAATTTCATGGTATTTGCAAAATATCTAGGTTAAAACAGCAAACACATCTAAAATCCAGGCAGAGTGAGCATAGAGCAGCCTGGGTTGCAAGCAAGTAGACCCTCTGCCAAGCTCTGGATGTAGGGTTAGATACCCCCAGAGACCCTGTGGCAAACTCTCTTCCCCACTGATGGGACCTGTTCTTATGAGAGACTGCTTCACCACGAGCTTTTCCACCACGACTGTGACAAGGACCAAGACCGACAGCGCCAACAAGCTTAGATCCAGATCTGGTAATCTAATGAGCAGGCTCAATTCACTACAGCATCTGCTTAGATTCTTACTCAGCATCGCATTTAAATACTTGTTTAAGGACTTATAGCCAATTGACTTTTTAACAGGAAATTAAAAAATACTCCCAAGTGCTATTCTGAGTATTACTGGACTTAAATACATAATGGTTAATCATGTAATGAAATCTTCTCATGAATCAGCACAGAACCAATGTATATTTTTTTATACATAGAGTCTGCATCATATTTAAATCCTTAAATTTATTTCCATCTGTTTTTCTAACACTGATCACTTTTCAACATAAATGGCAATACTTCCAAATTTTCATTGAAAACAAAAAACTCTCAAACCTGATTTCAGAATTCAAAGAGAATTACAAAGTGAAAGACTTAAGGGAAATGAAAGCCTAAATTCTTGTAACTTGTGCTTTTAAATTTCTTTATCATTCAAGGCCAACTTATAAAGTTGAGCATGTACAAGTTTACATGTAAGCAACAGTGAAACATTTGCAGGCAAATGTGAGGACACATTTGACCCTGTATTTAAACAAATTGTCAACAATTTGTTTGCAAAGCTTCTGAGAGAAAAATCCAGGCTCTGTTAAAATTACTCTTGATATGAATTTGACAGGTGGTGAGGATCTTATGAAGGTCTCCTCTGCATCAGAGGATGTTTAACCACAAATCAACACCATCAACAGAGGCACAACTCCTAGTGTGCATCCTGTCATACAAGCATAGCATCTATATTCACATTACTTGTTCCCATAGGAGAAGCAGAACAAGTTCTTTAAGTGTAAAATTCTTCCAATAAATAATATACTATACTGGTAAAACTCATACCACAAGTCAGTGTAGAGCAGGGGATATACAAAGATCTCCTCAAAGTCTTCTCACTAAAATGTGATCTGTTATCAAGAGCATACTGAAATGCATACCAATATTTGTACAGGGTAATGTATTCTAAAACGTCACCTATTACTGAAATCTTGTCTACACGTCAACTTAAGGAAGGGCCATGGAAGAATAAGCTTCCTGAATAAGAAGGGCGTATCTGTAACTGTAAAGCTAACCAAGCCTTCCCCATTACAACAGTAGTAGGCACCGCTGAAAGTACTCCTTAAATACAGATCTCTTTCATTGATACAGAATCATGAAGCTTAAAAAAAAAAAAAAAAAAGGTTAAGCAAGCAAATAGTTACTATCAGGGTGACTACATTTACTAATTATCATGAATTCATTAAGTGCCTAAATGAATTGTTCACAATAGGTGAATATCTGCAAAGCACCATAAAATTCTGAATGATATGTTGTATTTACTTCTCATAACGTGCTGATCTGCAATACAGAAAACAGTTTTACTTTTTGGATATTCATTAGTTAATAAGAGAAAGAAGACTTAAACCCATGCTTCCTTCACACCCAAAATATTTCTAGGAAATTTACTTTCTACTATTTTTCTCAGCAAGAGCAATAGTAAATCACCGCCATCCTGTCAAATTCAGTATTATAAAATGATGTGTGTAACACCTGAAAGTTATCTAAAGCCTTGGGACTGGCTGCTCTTGACTTTCTGACCAAATGGATGGAAAGGATCCAGTGTGATAGCAAGGCAGGCAACTAGTAAAGCACAGGGAAAGCAACAACAACAACAAAACCCCAGGCTGACTAAAAACTTGAGGGTTGTTTTTTTTTTTTCTCTAAAAATCTTGGAGTGCTGCAATTAAAACATAAAACCTCTTTCCACAGAGCAGATTGTGGTTCAGAGTACTTTCATATTCAGCAATGACATTTAAAGGGCAAATTCTAGGACACTACACTTAAAACTAAATTCTGTGCAGAACCAATTGTCATGATTTTCTTGTATTGCAATATTTAAGGGGTTCAGATCATGAAGAAAAAATAATTGTATTGCACACAGACAGCAGCCACATCCAGTTTTGAAACCTGTGCCCAACTGAAGCACGTATGTATTTTCTAAGCTGTTTTAACTTCCCCATATAAAAAGTTCTGAACAAAACCGTACTTGTGAATTCCCTCACACTGAAGAACCAGCCTTTCCTATCCTAAACCTCTTTATTTTCTGGGAGTGCTTACACCTCTTTTTATATTCCAGAATGAAGGATCAGTAAGCCTTCATCGCACACACGGGCCCGCATGCAAAACAAGAAAAGAAGAGTAGCAAAACATGAAGAGGAAAAATGGCACATCAGATGTTGCACTGGCATCCAAAAGTGCTTGGTTGGGTAGATACGTAGATGGCACCGACAAGATGAACTTAAGTTCAACAGGAACAAAAGCTGAAAGAATCAACCCTAACTCTACTCACCCACCCAGAAGCGTGCAATTCTCTACGTTATTTTATGCAAATGTCCCTTCAAGTACAGGAAGTGGAAAAATGTCTTTTCTGATTCTGTATCTATGGAGGATAATCAAACATGAAGAAACTAGTGTGTCCTTACTCATAAACAACAGAAAAAACCATAATGCCGTTTCAGAGAGACCTATGACAACCACAAACCCATGGAAGGGGAGGCCTACTTGGGGAATCAAAGTAAGGATTTAGAAGTCAGATTATTTTCTTTTAAAGATAAAACAGCCGTCACTGAAACAACTCATCTAAACAGGCTCATCCACTCTCATTCCATATTTAGTTCCCCCATTTTAACTGTAGCTTAATTAATGCTAACCTACGTATATGGAAAAGGTACATTATCCTCATGGAGTTTTCAGCAAAGAGCCAAAGGCCAGAGACAGAACTATCACAGCAAGGAAACAACTCTGACCTGACTTGGGATCTGGTTCTTTAAGAGCAAACCAGCAGTACTGTGACTATCTTTGCACGGTAGGATCCCCAAAGCTGAGGACCTTCATCACACTTCTGGTACTAAGAATATTCACCCCACTAGTGCCAGATATTTGATGAAAAATATAAGGTTCAAAATATTATGACAAAATTTTTCTCATTCATTTGTAGGTTATTAATCAACAAGCTGCATTATTTTTCTCCAGTAGTATTTTGTGTCAGTTTTAAAGCTAAAAAAAACCCCACGTGGATAAACAGTTTGTGTTTACTTAAAAAAATTATAAGAAAATACAGAATATAAGCAATTAAAACATAGCCCTTTAACAGTAGTACTCTAGCAGGGACCATCATCACAATAAATGGTCTGGAATAGATAAAAATCACTGCATTATTCCCTCGACACACTTCCATAGTTCAGTCAGAAGGATTTCTTTCTTTATGTTACCCACAAATACGACATGAATTTTGCGTCTAAAATTCTAGTTTAAAGAAAAAGGTTTCCCTCAAATTCATATACTTCTTTGGATAAAGGGCCATCAATGATCAAGCACACAGAAACTGGCTGTGATAGTCATTTCTTGTTTGACTACCTGTGCATTGGAGCTCAAGGTGAATTTGCTATTTTGTACTGAAAGCATCATCAACTAACCACTGTATGCCTGAAAACTCAAAACAGCTTTAAGCATTAAAAATCATTTTTGGTAAAACAGTTCTATTCTAGAACAAGTATTTCTGATATTTAAGGGTAAAACCCACACTTTCATTGACATCCTAGTGCTTTCACATTGTCTTCTGTGTCCTATGGCTGCCTTTCCTTCTCTAGCTGCAAAGCCCACTTGGCAGTGTTTTTATTAATTGTTTTAGGTACTTTAAAGTAAAAGAAACCTAGATTAGAGCTATTAAGCCCTGAAAAAGGTGATCCTTCTGGTTGGTTGTTTATTTTTTTTAATCCATTCAGAAGGGCTATGTGTAATTATAATCTTTATTAAAGAAACCTAACTACAATTTGGCATCAGTAATGTTTACAGTTCCGTAATGTACTGTAATAGTTTGAGATACTTTAAGAAAACCCTCCAAATACTGAGATGCTTATTGCAATTCCCTTTTAAAGAATCAAAAGCCTTCTAATGACTTTGCATTTCCTAGTTTTATCTTCTTTCAAATATATAATAGCATATGCTATAAATATGCTTTCCACATAAAATCAAACTTGAAAACACCCACTTAGAAACAATATTTCAGTAAATAGAGGGTTTAAGGCAAGTCATTCATTTGGAAAAGTTAATTTCCATTTGTTAATCCTAGATTGACACAATTTGATTCCACCCCATCAGTGCCTTGGGATACACAACGTACATTCAGCAAAGGGCACACATATGACCCTATGGACATACGTTGCAAGTCCTGAGTGCCCATTGAAATAATGGTAATATCTTCAGATAAGGCGTGACCCACAGGGACATGGCATGGGAGGGGTTAATTTGTTTTGTTTCCAGTCTTGCTATTGTATGTGATTTTCCTAGGTAATGCATTCTTTTCTTACTAAACATCTTTGCAAACAAATACAAACCCCTTTAAAAGGTGCTAAAAATGGGTTTCTGAAAACATACAAAATATATTCATCATAGTATTTCCTCAATCACTGTTTTAATGCTTGATATCTGCAGGTTACTTCTTCTTTCTGACTGAAACTATTATTTGTTGTGGAATAACTGTTCTTTTGCAAAAGATTTTCTTCTTCTAGTTTTTTGGACCACACGGGCTGGATGCTTTCATGCTTTTTACTTCCTTTTTGAGTTCTTTTCAATGGAAATACCAACAACACCAGGATGCTGGCAATATGGAGACAGAAATAGCAGGAGCTAAAAAACAAACAAAAAGAAGAATTCAGTAAAACTCTGTCCACTCTTACAGGATGCTTAAGGAATAAACTGTCAAAACCTACTCACATACAGTACCTTGCACATCAGACTTTTAAGTCAGGAAAACATTAATTTTTCATTTTTAAGAGAAGTAATAAAGGGGAAATTAGAAATGAAGTCTTCCCCTAGAGTACTCAGTGCTGTAACAGATGTAACATGAAGAGAAGTCTGCTTTCAACTATTTTTCACAAATGTTACTTTGGGCAAGTCATTATCTAGTCTTGCTACAAAATAGTTCAATTGCATATAGTAAACTCAAAGATACCCTCTGGTTTTGGGTTTTGTTTTTTTTTTTTTTCCCCTGCCCCAGGAAAAAGAAGTCTATTTCGATAGGAAAATAAGATCCCTTTATGGTTTCTCATACAGAACTATATTCAAGCACTAGAATAGAAATACAGTTTGCCCAGGTAACAAATAGGTCTTATAATTATCACTAAAATAGTCTCAGAAATTTTACGCCACAGAAAAATACTTCTATGCCAAGTTAAAGACAAGCAAAAGGGAAGAGGTAGAACGTGCTTACCTGTAAAAGGTGAGAGAGGGTTTTACGGAGAGCAGTACAAATGGCACCACTGTGTAACTTATTGCTACTTGAGTTGCCATCCATGTTACGATATCATAACATAGTTTAACAGCAGGAGATTCAACAAAATAGTGTCTGATGTTGTTTCTTATCTGAAAAAGCAGATGACAGTAAGTTAGCTTAGGAATAAACTTTGAGAGCTATCTTACTGTGCGGAGTTTGCTGCACTTCCACAAAATTCATAGGATGTATTTCAACACTACAGTTTGGTCAAGTGTCTTTGAACTATTCAAAATACCCATCAACTTTAACAGGAATCAGTTCAAGTTCCCTGCTTTTTAGGACAGTGTGCTTCAACCAGCAAGGGAATTAAAGTATTTAAAAACTAAAGCAGAATTTAAGTAAATTAATCCCCCTCTAAACCCGATGTGATGTTGGACTACTTCTCTGACTACTTGTCTGATTGAGGCAGACATTCTGTTTTGTCAAGCTCTTCTGTAAATATAGAGTGTTGGAGGAAACGAAAACCAGAACACTTCTGTTTGAAAGCTTCTATATGGTAAGCCGTTTTCATATACTTGCTAGTAAGATGTATTTTCAGACAAGAAGTGTATAAATCAGAATACACAAAGCACCAGGTTCCGTAAGATATTTCAGGAATCTTAACAACAACTACTATGAAGCAGGACTGTTATCAAAGGACTCAGTTCTCTATGCTGAATTTTCTTTTGTTTGTAAAACTCTGTTCAAACAATGGAATACCAAAGGTATTTTAAAAAGTCCAAACCCCACACAGGTTTGGGTTCAGTTTTACAAATCTATAATTAAAAACACCAGTAGATCTTCTCCCCTGGGTCCTCCGACTGACCTGTCATGCTTGCTCACACTCTTACTTGCTGACAAGCCACGACAGGCTCCATTCAGCCTTGGTGTAGCTTGGTATCGCCTTTGCCACCTTCCAGTCACCCACACTGAGGTAGTCCTCTCCAAAAAGCTACACACCACAGGACAGTTCAGCTTCCTCATCTTTCAGTTCCCTTACAACTCCTGCTTCTCCAGAACACGTGGAGGGCTAACTTGTGCCTATTTTACTCTTTACATTAAAACCCTTTTTTACCTCTCTTATCCTTAATACCCCAATTCCCCTGTAGTATCACATTCCGCTTTTGCTTAGTCAAGTGACATAAAACAAGTCATTCCAGCCATCTACCCTTCATCCCAGTGGCTGCCATCTCCCCCCACTTTTCTCCTATAGCCACATGCAATGACTTGTTCCTGAGTTCTGTAAAACTTGGTGGAGGTTTCACAAACTTCTTGCGTAGAAATCTAGCAATTTAGGACTTGAAGGACAACTTCCAAGATAAATCTATAACTGCCCAGGTGGTTTCACAGAACTTCTTGTATAGAAATCTAGCAATTTAGGACTTGAATGACAACTTCCAAGATAAATCTATAACTGCCCCTAGTAAACACCCAATTATGAATTGTGTCATGATTAAAGGAAGTAAAACGAGTTGAATACATGCTTAGACATGACAGGAGAAGACAGTGTGGGCCACAGCTGCCAAACTTTGCAGTCTTAATAAAGGCTAGTAGAGTTAAATAATAAACATGCTAAAGCACCTCTAACATATCTTATCAGTTAATATTAAGTAACTATTCATAAAGAAACTAACAATATTTTTATTTCATAGCCTATTGATTGATACATATGAAATGTGAATACAACACAGCTCATTAGCAAAGCCCAAAGTGCAGTGAGCGCTCCGATTTACGGGACTCACCTTACTGAGAGAACACAACTTTTACCTGGGAACTGTCCCTGATCTTTGGCTTTTGCACCAGTCCCTGGCTGAGAAATGTGATAAATGTCAAAAGTTCACTGTGACACAGTCTGGAAAGGAGAAGGGAGCTATACCTATTGTAAAGAAAGGAGTCAGTTCTGTCAAACAAGGACTATACCCACATCTTTGTGAAGAAAGAGGAGCATCTGTTTTATTACTGTTAGTAACAATCTAAATCTGAAGTACCACCTTCTCCTAGCTATTACAGCAACAAAGCTCAGTCTGCTTCATTTCTCATTGTCCTGGTTCTTTTGACAGAACAGCAGTTCCTTACGCTGCTCTGAGTTGACGGCTCATTTTCTTTTGTTCCTCGTTCCCCCTGAGTAACTGCTAAACCTGCCTCTGTTCTTCCTCAGCTTTCTCAAGCAGGACTGAGAGATTTCTCAGCAGATTTGCCACGCGGTTCTGACAGCAGCTGTAAAAGCTTGTTAGTGTGACTGCACTTCCGGCTGGCCAATTTGGAGTAGTAATAGTGCTGTGTGTCTGCTGGTCAACGGGGAGCATTCTTTAGTTACCATCTCCACAACAGTACTGGGCAGAAATTAGGGAGGGGGACAGACGCAATAAATACATGGCACTGACTGCCCCCCAAATTTTTAGCTAGTGATAATCAGTGATGAAGTTGTTTTTAAAATGGTCTTAGGTAACACCCTCTTGTTTAGCATGGCATGGTAACACAGGATCAGCTAATACAGAGGAAGGCCTTCCACAAAAGATATGCCATAAAGATGTTATAGGCTGTGTAGAGTCTCGCTTGCTTTATTGGCCAACTCCCTCCTTATCAATAATCATTCCCACTGCTCTCATAACTAAAAAAGTAAACAAAAAACTGTCAGACTGTTTGTGTGTCAACTCTAAATCACATCTTGGGCTACAGAACATGATCAATTTTCTTTTACAGAACTGCCTATTGTTTAAGAAGATGCTTGGTTGGTACTTACAGCTCTTGCTGCTAGTGTCATTAGTACTCCTGTTAGAAACGTTAAATAATATCCTGGGTAAACTCCATGCCAGATGGCAGAGAGGATGAAGGTTTGGATCGTTGGGCTGAAGGTGGCTCGCTCGTAGCACACTCTAGCAAATCAAAGACAATTCAACATAAATAACATGAGACAGGGATCACCAACAATCTACCCAGTTAGCATTTATACTTTTGTCAGTTTCATTTCCAACCCAGCATTTGCAATGCAACTGCAGCTTACCATTATTTAATAATGTTGCCACTATACTATGACTTACAGGAAATAGTTACAGCTATCCACAGCTCTTAATTTAACCCCCCAGTGCTAACCTATGCTCAGTGCCATCACATACGGTACTTCTCTAGAGTGAAGTGACACAGAAGCATCCAAAGACAGGTGTTGGTGTTAACAAGGGATCTCAAGATATCTAAGAATGTGCTTGAAAAGTTAAACTGAAAGGCACAGACTATCCCACAAACTCTTGCGATGAGTCAGTTACACATTTTTCATGAGGTGAAAGCTGCTTATCCGAGACAGAAAAAAGTAGCAACTACCTTCAATTTAGAGTAACAGAGAGACTATAGTTGAAAATGTGTCTGTGTATGGCAATTAAGTGAGCATGATGAAGAAATTGTAACTAATGACTCTAGGGGTGCGAGAACATCAAATAAGGACAGTGCTGAACTCTGCTATTTGAAATTTGAGACTTTGAATTATTAGGCAAAGTCCTGCAGTAAGGAATTCTAGAAAGAAGGGGACTCGAATCCAAGAAAAGTAGTTTCTAGAAGACAACATTAAATGACAGAGTGACAAACCATCATGATGTGGAAGAATGAGAGGAAACATGGGAAGGTCCTGATATGGCTTCATCAAGAGTTCTTTAAGGTCTTTAATGATCTGAAAACCAAAAGCAATAGGAAATATGGAAACAGATGCACACTAAGATGAAGCAAAAATACACAGCACAAGTATGCATGAACACAAATCTAAGGCTAACATACAAAAATGAGTTTTAACTAAAAAGGGCCATAGACACCAATATGTATAAAGGTTTTATAAACACATTGCAAGTAACAGAGAAGAGAATTCAAAGAGGAAGACAAGCTAATGATACAGAGGGCTGAAACACTCACTACTAATGTAACTGCTTTACTACAACTTCTATATACACCAAAGATTGCTGAGACCAAATGATACAGTCGATGGTAAAGAGCAGAAGTAAAAAAAGGCAGGATCTGAATAGGGAAAGATCAAAAAAGTATTTTGCTAATTTAGTTTATTCCAGTCAAATAGATGTGGTAAGTTTTCTCTCATGAGCTCTTCAGTGCGGGGTACCAGCAGAGCCCCCTCCCCTTGCCAACGGGCTTCGTTAACAATGCCCATTAAGATGAGAGCAGGGGTGGAAGCAGGGCAGGGTGCACCCAGGCGTAATACACAGAACTCTCTGAGGACATTTGCAGTAACAGATCACCTTAAAGAGGAAAGCAACAGTGGCCAGACTGAACAGTAACCAGGGAATTTCAAAGAGACTTCTGAAACGAAGGTGGTGTCAGCCTAGAAAGTTGAAAAGCACTGGGAAAATTTGGAGTCAGGGAGACATCTTGGAGCAAAATACTAGTCATCACAACCTGGTCTGACACTGCCAGGAGTCGCCCCACTAGCGTCAAGACCTCCCTCTCGGCCAAGACAGAGGATCCTCCCTGGTAGACACGGAGCAGCCTGCATCCAGCCAGGGGACTGTCACTGCAATGTGCAATCCACAGGGAGCAGGACCTCAGCCCTCATAGCTGCTTGCACGTGAACTCATTACATGCTTTCCTAATTGGCGTGTCAATCAGCAGGTTCACATAGAGCTGGAGCACCCACACCTCCCACAGGCTACATATGTGGGCAGGGGGCCCACACTTCCCAAAGGAGGTGTGTTTCTGTAACCCACGTGTCCTTGGGAGCAGAGGCACGGTTTGCATGGAACCACATGTGCTTTTTAAACTCTTTGGGATTAGTTCCAAAAGAGTGTTTAGAAATTTGTCTATTAAGTCACAACACTAAGCACTTAGAAAACATCATCTGTTCTACTACTGATATTAATGCTGAGTGTGTATTTCACAGACTGGTGGTTAATCATGTCTTGTTAATAATTTGATAAATGGCTTAAATCCCTATTTGGTTTAAACTACTTTAGGTAAGCAGATTTTTCTCTGCAAAGCATTCAGGTGCTAACAAAACTACCTAAATTAACAAATCAAATTTCATCTATACCAATGCAAGTCAGATAAGATATACACCAGAAAATAAATCATCAGGCTTCAAAGAGTTAAAAGTAAGCTTAAAAAATCCTCTATGGATTTGTCAACAATAAATCATGTTGAAATGCCTCACTTGGCGTTCCTAAAAACAAACCCACAAAATACTGTCATCACAATAGGCTGAGAAAATCTATTCAAATATGGGTGGTTCAGATTATCTACGATTTGTTCTAGAAGTGGGAAGATGCACTGGCTGTTCAGCAAGGTTCTCCCCATCTCTGGGGTTCTATACTTTGATTACTAGCTTGGGTGGGAGACTGAGAGGGGTATTTTTGCATCCTGCCTTCCCTTCCTGTTTTTGAGAGGGTGCAGGGTAGGGGAAATGAAGAGATTGGCATTATTTCTTAACAGATAGAGCACTAGAACCCAAAATTATCTTGACACTCAAATCATGTTCTGAAATCGAGAAGTTGAAGTCCAAGGTCTAAAACATCTAAAAGAAGTGGAAGATACAAACCAGTACCCGTCCATTTAACATTACTGAAGGGCAGCTGAGCGTGAGTATGAATCAACGTCATGAAACACTGAGCATCAGCTGAGCCTGAATCAACATGAGATTGCTGCTGGAAAACAGACAGATGTAATACGGTGATGTATTAGCAAGAGTTATTTAAAGAAAGGTAATGAGTCCACTGAAAGCATTCGACTCCGCCTCTACCAAGCCAGGGGAAGACCCTGGAGGTCTCAGCAGAAGTACTACATCCACTGCAAGATGACAGGAAGTTTGGAAAGAAGCCAGAAGAGAGCAACAAGAACCACAAATGTTTCACAAACGTGACCAAAGGAAAAAGAATTGGATGTTTTCTTTGGAAAAAAAAAAAAAGGAACAGGCTGAGGAGGAACATAACAGCTTCCCCAGTCAGGAAACATTACCATGATATATATTGTTGATATATGCTGCTATGTAAATATCTACTTTAACTTGCATGCCTGTGACAGTAATGCCTTTGTACTGCTGTATTTTGTGATCTACATTAAGTGTTTATTAAACAACTTTATGATCTTCGGATGTCGGCATTGGGACTGGAACATTTTAACATCTTTGTTGGTGACATGGACAGTGGGATTGAGTGCACCCTCAGCAAATTTGCTGACGACACCAAGCTGTGTGGTCTGGTCGACACACTGGAGGGATGGGATGCCATCCAGAGGGACCTGGACGGGCTTGAGAAGTGGGCCCATGTGAACCTCCTGAAGTTCAACAAGGCCAAGTGCAAGGTCATGCACCTGGGTTGGTGCAATTCCATGAAGAATTACAGGCTGGATGGAGAATGGATTGAGAGCAGCCCTGAGAAGGACTTGGGGTGTTGGTGGATGAAAAGCTGGACATGAGCCAGCAATGTGCACTCATAGCCCAGAACGCCAACCATACCCTGAGCTGCATCAAAAAAAGCACAGCCAGCAGGATGAGGGAGGCGATTCGGTCCCTCTACTCTGCTCTCGTGAGCCCCCACATGGAGCACCGCCTCCAGCTCTGGGGCCCTCAACATAAGGAGGACATGGACCTGTTGGAGCAAGTCCAGAGAAGGACCACCAAGATGATCAAAGGGCTGGAACCCCTCCCCTATGAATACAGGCTGAGAGCAGTGGGGTTGTTCAGCTTGAAGAAGAGAAGGCTCTGGGGAAACCTTATAGCAGCTTTCCAGTACCTGAAGGGCACCTACAGTGAAGCTGGAGAGGGACTTTTTACAAGGGCATGTAGTTATGGGACGAGGGGTAATGGCTTCATACTGGAAGAGGGTAGATTTAGGTTAGATATTAGGAAAATATAAGGTGGTGAGGCACTGGGGAAGTGCCAGTCTCCTGGGGAAGTTGTGGATGCCCCATCCCTGGAACTGTTCAAGGCCAGGCTGGATGGGGCTTTGAGCAACCTGCTCTGGTGGGAGGTGTCCCTGCCACTAGAACGTACTCCCCTGAAGAGAACAGAATTAACGCTGACATCTGATATTTCTGTAGCTCATGGAGAAAAACGCCTAAGATTTTAGATGCTTCCATAAATATAAAAGTGGGTGCTTAAAGCAATACATGAGCTTGTCCTCTAGTCAAGCATTGCAGCTAATACAATTATTGGTAATATAATATATACCTGGACCAATATTTATGCCTCATATAATCATTAAAATAATTTACTTGCAACAAATCTTTAAGAAAACATCCACCCTTCCACTGTGGCGAAATCAACATGTATTTAGACTACCCTCAGATTCCTCTACACTTGTTCTTAAAAATTTAAGAGCAATTGATCATTCTTAAATTGGACTTAATTTTTTTAAGAATATTTATTAGAGGAGATGCTTTAATTTTTCTTCACATCATCTTTTCATGTCACCCTGAACAATTGATTTGCACTATTTTTCAATTCCTGGCAGAAATGGTACTGCTCTCCACCAAAAGGACTTTTCGTTTAACATCATTCAATTTAGGAGCTTTGAAAGTTTGTTGGAACGCAACCTTCTCCTATTAAGTTTTAATACTGATAAACTTCTGTTCCCAAACTAAATTAAAATGCATTTTTAAACAGCTTATTTGCTATATTAAATGATACATTTCAATACCTGCAAGCATGCAATTCTTCTATAATGACTGCCCTAGCAGTAGATTCTATTGTCTATTGAGCCAACTAGAATAATCACAAAAATTTCAATGTCTGTTTTAAACTGGGTCAGAAAAATATTTAGGGAAGAAATTATGGAAGGATACACTACAAAGAAATTTGATGGAAGCAACATCCTGATGCCATCCTAGAATAAGGGATAAAGTTCTCTGAGCCATCCCAAGATGAGGGTCTCTCTTAAACTCACACCTGTTCATAAAAGATCATCTATGGGGTGGGAGACCATCCCAGAGACTGGGAGAAGGGCAACAACAGCCATGCACTACTCAAGAACAATTTTTTACTTTCTAGTTCCAACAAAGTAGTAGTAAAAGCAGTGATTTAGTTCACTGGGCACTACACCTGTTCCCCAGACAAGGGAAAAAGCGCATCTGAGGGATATTCATTTGTAAGGTGGTTTTTTTGGCTAGCAACTTGTAGGGTTTGATATTAGCCACACACTCAGCACAGGAGGAGTGCAGAAAGCTCTCTCACAGAACGTATGCAGGTTTGTGTATCACTATGTGACTAAAAAATTTTTTTAAAAATATAGTTTAAAAAAATAGCCTTTTCCACAGGGTAGCCACCAAAGATGTGCATTTTGCCTACTGCTCACAGCAACACGTGCTGCTTTGAATGTTCGGAGGGAAAGAAACGAGACACCTCCACAGGCTAATACTTCTAAGTTCCCTGTGACCAGAGAAAAAAAACAAAAACACTTTCTATCATTACCTGATACTTTACACAGAGAGAAGTGCTACATTCAGCAGCTTTAATTCAAATATTACAAGAGGAATGTCCCATGCAGTTGCTAAACAACCGTACTATTTAGGGGGGTTTAGCTTTAAATGTTAAATTATCTTCAAATACATATTTCTCTAAGAAACTTCACTGGAGAAAAGCTTTCCTTCAAGAAATTAATACCTTTTAAGCCAAAGAGCTGTTTGGATATTCCAGTTATCAAGAAACATCTTGAAACTTGTGGAAAACTGCAAAGTAAAAACAAACTAATTATTTCCATAGTTGTAAAATGTTACAAAATATTTCTGAATTCTAACATATAAATTATTTAAAAAGCCCCTAATTTGTGGTGAGTTGAATAATGTATTTACTGAACTACTTATAACCACAAAATATTTGGGAAGTCAGCTGACAAGTAGAACATATTCAAAACAGACTTTATTTTCCATCCTTTCCTGATGCTGTGAACACGTTGTTTCTGACTTAGAGTACATTCACTGTCTCGAGGAACAAAACATAGGAAGAGTTACTGAAATGACAAGCAACTACTCACATGGGCACGTATTTTATTTGAAAGAGCCATGAACAAACCTCTATTTGCTGGATTCTCAGATTTGATATTAAATCCCAACGTGTAACTCCATTTTTGTCATAGCCTCTAAAACCAAACCCGGCTGCATTATTAATTGCATCTGCTGCAATGAAACAAAAACAAACAAGTGAATTATCAACTGCCTGTATTACAAATTGTGCACCACACAACCTGCAGTTTGTTCAAAATATTTATCACATTTTAAAGGCTACATATTTATTGATTTATCGCTGTATTAGACACGTGAACAACCAGAAAATAATCCAAGTGACACATGGGCTTTGAATTAGAAAAGCTTGTACAACAGCAAAAGAAGGAAAGGTAGCACTGTCGACGGCACAGTGCAGATGTGTCCCCTCTCTCCCACCACCAATTTAAGTCTTGCTTGAGCAATTTGACAGAAAAACCAAATTCAGCGAGATGCACCACGACCAGCAGCAGTGTGTGGCTGTAAGGGTCTGAGCTGGCAGCTCAGCACTCGGGTTGAGTCATTGGTCTCCGTTCCGCAGCAGCAGCCACGTTTAAGGCAACTGCCAACCTAATGGGAGCAAACGGCAATTTACTGAGCCAGACAGAGTTTGTCAGATTTCCACTAATGGCACAAGGCCACTGCTAACAACGCTTCTGAAAACCAAGTGTTTACGATGCACATCAAAGGTCGGACAGTTCAAAGCAAACAGTGTTTTTCTCTAGGAGAAACAGCTGGTACCATCGTCTGGACTAAGTAGGAAAGTACAAGGGATCTCAGCGCTGGTCCCTTGGAGTCATCACCTTTGCCTCAGCTCTGTTAGCTCAGACACTAAAGCCTCCTCAGAAGTGCTTCTCTAATTAGGATGGCCACTTAGAGGGAAATGAGGGGTTTTTTTCCTAATATTGCCTCTGCTGAGCCAGGCATTTGGTTGTTTGCGCCCAAACATGGACAACACACCCATGACACGTGAACCCAACCGTGCACCCACTTCAGTGGATAAATCAGTGACCGTGGGGAGAAGAATGCCAGCTCCTCTCCCAGCTCAGAGGCATCCTGAGGGATTGGAAGCAGGTAGGCAAAAGGCTCTGCAGAAGCAATGCAGATCTAGGTCTAGTTACAGGACATGAGCCTTCTCTGTTAGCTCAGAACTCATCTAAAGCATTGTCATTAGATTGTCACCTGTCAGCTAGCAAGGCAAGAGAAATTGCTCAGTTTGTATTACCATATTTAAAAGAATTTACTTTATGTAATAGTGATATGTAAGATAAATTAATATCTTTTCATTTTCCTTTCCTCTTAACAACTTTTTCAACATATTATTCCAGTGTATTTGGAAAGTAAAAGAAACAATTGACTCAAACAGTTCCTTTCCTGCACTTCAGTTTCTCCAGTTACCTACCAGTCTGGAAGAGGGCTTTGTGACATTTGACTTAATTAAGTCATAATATTTTTATTTCCCCATCAATAACAATTTTAAAGAACATCTTTGAAAGCAGCAAAATTTGCTGCAATACATCTGATGTCACTGATGTCAACTTCCAACATTAGACATTGATTTTATGCTCAATTAGAAACAGCTGAAGACATGAACTCCATAATCTCTTGCTAGAGTAGAAAGACTACAGCTAGAGTAAGTACACATTTTATTAACTAGCATTTTAGTAAGTATTAATTTTAAGTAATTAATTTTAGTAACAAATTTTTTTTTTTCCTTAAGTGTGAAGAATAGCACTGTACAACTCAAAAGCATAACATCCAGTAAAACTTTAAGGCCCCCTCATATTCTACTCTTACCACCAGAAGTTTAGATGAGGTAAAGTGGAAGGAAGGACTTAAAAAAAGTTATTTAGCAAACTGAAAGGACAGAGTTGATAAAGCTTATTTTCTTCGGTATTTTACCAAGGGAATGCTAGCTCTACACTGCTAGTAAGTGCATAAGGAGAAATCCATCCGAAGTATTAGAGGGAAAAAGAACAACAAAGATTATTCATTTTTTGGATAACTCTTACTCTTTACAGACAATGATACTGGTGCATAAGAGCACAATATTCTAAATTATTTCATTCCACAACAAGCCCCAGAATTACTATATCCAGACAAGCTGAAAGCACTCCATTCATTGACCAGGAATGAAACCAGCAGCTGTAAATGAGTCATGCTGTTCTGCTGCACTAAGGCTTTCTTTATGGCATTGTTTCCCACAGATTCTCTCTCAGAAGAATTATGAAACAAATATGTAAAACTGGAAAAGAGGAGGAAGCTGATGAAATCTGTTTTGTGAGGCCCTTCCAAGATGTCAGCTTACACAGAACAGCAAAATGCCTATTTATGTGTTGGGTTTTTTGGATTGTCTTTTTTTGTTGGGTTTTTTTTTTCTGTTCTCAAATAATGCAAATTGAAAAGCAAAACATTCTTTAAACTATACCATCTATTCAAGTGCCTTAAACCAGTGACTATAGGGGTTATCCTGTCAGTCAATTAGAACTTTCAGTAAACAAAGAGCAGAAACTCAAGTGTCACCCATCAAACTCTGAAAATAGTAGATGGCATTCGCAGTAGTGATAACACCACTATGGTGCATTTGCTTTTCCTTCTTGCTTGAATAACATCAAGCAAATTACTGATAACTAACCACAGAAAAAGGCTTAGAATAACTTTTCAGATATGGCAAAGTATCAAAAAAATAAAAAATAAAACAAGTCAGGGATTGTACATCAGACTAGATTAACTGCAAATTTTGAAAAAACAAAAACGTCACTGCTCGTTAAAACACTATCACTTTCCAAAAAACCCTTATGTTTCACTCAGATTTTTTCAGGAGCCCATGATCTCATTTGCAACACTGTCACAACACTGTGCTTAGATTTATTGTAAGTTTTGTTTCTTAAAAACAGAGACACCATTCAATATACTTTGACAATACTTTGTAATACTTAATAATGTTTTCCTAAGGCCTCAAGAGGGCACTGTCACTTTTTAATACACGCTTAGTGTGCAGCATCTCAAATGAAAGTCAATACATATGCTTTATTTTTTTAATATACGTACTTACCTAAAGTCCATGCAAAATAATACTTGGGTCTGGCAGCCATGAGAGACACATATAGGTAGAAAAACCTTACAGGCCATGACGCTGTAGCTCTGAAGTTATCATCAATGTTGTATTCCACAGGCAAAGTCTTTGTAATAGTCATGTGGAAAAGTAAGGACAGTCCACAGATTAAGAGTTTCTGTGCCACAGCTATCTGAAAAGTTAAAGATGGGAGACTTTGTAAGCGTTGTTTTTTTGTTAATCTTCTGGAAACAAAGGCAAATTATAATCGTCCTTCCCTAACAGCAGTATATACATGTCAACTTTTCAGTAATACATACTACCAACTGTAAAATAGTTGGTAACATTCTATAGGGGCTCAAGGAATATAATTATCTTGATTAAGTTGTGAGTACCACTTCTGGCAAACACAGCACATTCAATCTGACTACAAGGAGCCTCCAATAAATGGGAACATCTTTTGCAACTCCGTATCAATCAACTCTTAGATTATTGCAATATCTAAGTTATAAGACAACTAAAATACTGAAATAATGTATGAATTTACAGCCAAAATACCTCAAATTCTACATAGATCTGTTTTCCCAACTAGAGTGATCAAGCTATAAGGTGTCAAATAGTCTGCTCACTGAGATGTAAAACTATGTTGTTCAGGTAGGACATGGACTCACATTTTCTCAAAATTCATTTTGCCATAATCACCACATTAAAAAGTATGTATTTTTAGGAGAACATTTCTAAGGTTCCATTATTACACACATAGAGCAATAATGCATGACACTGAGTGCTTTAAATCTGATCCACATCCCAAGGGCAGATACTACGTTCAATGCAAGCTCCTGAAGTACCACACTAACCAAGCACCTACAAAAGAGAAGTCTGAGAGCTAGTTCATTTAAATGTATTTTTCAAGTTTTGATTGTAAGTAATCTCGGTATTTAAATGTTACCATTTTAATTTACATTACAATTCTACAAACAATAAACTTGGCAAGAAAACAATCAACCTTGCTGTTTCTCCTCTGGAGCATCGCAACAAAAAGATAACCAGAGCCCTTTTTCTGTCCATCCTACTTCCAGGATACCTGCCCAAACTTGTAAAGACAATGTCCTGCTTTAATTAGAGTGCAGCTTCACATACCTAGTTCCAAAATAAAGAGTAATTCTATTCCATGATACAGAATGGAGCATTAAGTGCCCAACTGAAAATACAGATTTCTGCAAGACACATGGTATCAAAGATTCGTCCAGTCACACAGACCTAAGAGGTGGTTACAACCTGATAAAAAAATTAAACTTTGAAAAGTTGTAAAAAGGTGAGGGTAACTTTGGATATTGCATATATTTCACGTGGCTCACATCAGAAATATTTCAGAGGGGATTAGAAAACTCAGCTAATTAAAACAAACCAGCTGGATAATTCAGGAGACAACTACATATTAACAGCTAAAGCCAGTATTTAATTATTTGTTTTACTCGCTTTTTAATAAACTTTATTTTAATACTTTATTCTACTATAAGAGTTCAAAGCACATTCATTTTTTAAAAGCATTCCTTTGTTTTTCTAGCAGCTATTAATCCTTCTCTCTCTTTGCCAGAGCAGAGGGAAAGTTCAGTTGGCTTAACTTCTTTAGGAATTTAAATAGAAATGAGAGTTCATTAAATGAGTTATTATTAATACTAATGAGTCTTTAAATTTGGTATTAAATACCTGATACTTGCAAAAGTTAGATATTTGTAAATACCAAAAGACATCACCCCAAGGTTCTGAAGACAGTTGCAAAGATTTAACTTCAAAGTCTAAATAATAATGAGAAGTCATGTTCAATTTACCATGAGAAACAGCATTTACAGACTGGTAACATTAACAGGCAACTTGGAAATATAAGCATAAATGTATAAAATAGCTATTTTCCACCTGAAGATCTCTATAAAGTCTCAAAATATCTATTGGCAACTTATAAGTAATGCAATCTCTGTTTAAAGGCCTGGTTTTTGCCACTGCCGCCAGTTTTTCCATTGGTAAATAGAAATCATTAATCTGTCTATTCAACCCAAAACATGCTTAATGCCTCTTTGAAGGTTTTTAACAAAGTTTCAACTGGAATTGAAAGCTCTTCTTTTAAGGAAAAGCATAAGGATTTTATCAAAAATTTATCTTAAGAAAAAAAACAATGAACTCATACAGTACTCTGCTACAAATTGTACTTTTAAAAAATAAACTCTGCAGTTTTCAAGTTGTAATTGTAGAAAAGATATTGTAGGAGGAAGAGGTTTTTATTTATTTATTAAGTATTTAAATGATGTATTTCTACAACTGTTTTTTAGCACCAACATTTAGGTGTAGGGACAAGCATAACTTGTCCATAGCGTAGGACAAGCGTACATCCAGAAACAGCATTTCTGTTTCTTTTAATTATACTACTCTGCTCAGTAATTATAAATCTCAGAACCCCAACCAAGCTGGTATCACTTCTATGGGATCAGAATCAGGTATATTAGTGTCCTTAGCAAACAGTAAGGGAGATAATCTCCTGCCTCTACAGAGACCGGGAGCTGCAGTTTCAGGACTGGTTCACACAGAGGTTCTGGGGCACAATCCCAACACAGGCTGCAGTGCAAAGCAGCAGCCCTGCCCTCCCTCCTCACCTTGCCTGCAGGATTTTGCTTTTTTCCTTCTACTGAGTCAGATTCAAGAAGCCAATCAGGTGAAAATCCAGCCTTTGAGGGTTTTGCCTTTTTTTTTTTTTTTAAATGATGAATTAGTTGTAAAGTGGCTCAAGTGATCTGAATCAGTCCACAACACAGCACAAGGCATGTCAGCTCTGCTACAATAAGTAGAAGACCCAGAACCCACAGCCAGGACCCACCCTATTCAGCAAGAGTTTGTATTTGGGTTGGCCTAAATTAAGTACCAAATCAAAATCATTAAATTCTTAAAGTCTGAGTCATGTTTATAGCACATTTACAGAGACATAGAAGTCCTCACTTGAAACCAAAATAATCCATAGTTCAATTACCTATAGAAATGCGTTTGGTAAAATATTAATTCACTTCCTATTGCTTAATTAACTAGGTTATTGATATAAGCTTCTTTGCCAAGGCATAAATGGGTAATCACTGGATTGCACATTCACAGGAGGGCTGGTCAGTTTTTACAGGGATAAAATATTCAAAAGTAAAGATTCAGAAGCTTGAAGTTTAATTTCATTCACTCTTCAAAGTGTACAACATATCAGAATACCTGTTCCGTTACAGAAGTAAAAGATCATAAGCTGCAGAATAACGTTGACCCCTTAGCGAAGTAGAATATACGATTTCTTTTATATCAAAAAGGTAGAAAAGCCTGGCTCATGTAGTTGTGATGACTAAAACCTGAGCATACCTGTATAAAAATATCAAATCTGGCCAACACTGGTGAAACAGTACTTAAGCTAAAAGCACCAGGACAAAACCAAACATGCATTCATTAGATGGGAATATAATTAGCTTGAAAGCTACATTCCTAATCAGAGAATGGAGTTCAGGAACAGCCGTCTAGTTGAAGCAATAAAGGTAAAACACTCACTGAGCTCAGGGATTTTATAAATATATTATTTTATAAACTTGTATAATATATATATAAATATATACCCAAAAGAAGAAAAGGACCTTTTATTTGACTAAATCTGTTATTCTTCTTGGTTGAAAGACAGTAAGGAGCTCAATATAATATTGAACTATGATCGTTTTGGGGAGGTTAACACCACAGGTGAAAATTATAGGTAATTAAGCAAGAACTTTATAACCTCTAGGAAGAGTCTGCATAATAAGCAAGAAAGCAGGTATCTGCTGACAGGATTCTTGTATTTTAAGGGTAGCCATAATAAAAAGAAACTTACAAAGACAGATATTAATTTCTGAGAGTTGACACCACTTTGAGCACCAACAATTGATAGCTTGCAAAAAGGCACAATAGGAGGGATATAAGAAAAAAGTTTTAATATGCTCAGTTGATTTATATAACATGCAATGAACACAGCAAAAATACTAAATCAAGTTAACATCATGCAGTCAACACAGTATAGAGGAGGAGGCTGGCATGAACTACTTTGGTTATATAGTCTATATTCGACAAGAAATGAAACTTAATGTAACTCAGCTGAAGGATTTTTTTCCTTTTATTTATTTGAAAGCTACATTCCTAATCAGAGAACGGAGTTCAGGAACAGCCATTTAGTTGAAGCAATAAAGGTAAAACACTCACTGAGCTCAGGGATTTTATAAATATATTATTTTATAAACTTGTATAATATATATATAAATATATACCCAAAAGAAGAAAAGGACCTTTTATTTGACTGAATCTGTTATTCTTCTTGGTTGAAAGACAGTAAGGAGCTCAATATAATATTGAACTATGATCGTTTTGGGGAGGTTAACACCACAGGTGAAAATTATAGGTAATTAAGCAAGAACTTTATAACCTCTAGGAAGAGTCTGCATAATAAGCAAGAAAGCAGGTATCTGCTGACAGGATTCTTGTATTTTAAGGGTAGCCATAATAAAAAGAAACTTACAAAGACAGATATTAATTTCTGAGAGTTGACACCACTTTGAGCACCAACAATTGATAGCTTGCAAAAAGGCACAATAGGAGGGATATAAGAAAAAAGTTTTAATATGCTCAGTTGATTTATTTAACATGCAATGAACACAGCAAAAATACTAAATCAAGTTAACATCATGCAGTCAACACAGTACAGAGGAGGAGGCTGGCATGAACTACTTTGGTTATATAGTCTATATTCGACAAGAAATGAAACTTAATGTAACTCAGCTGAAGGATTTTTTTCCTTTTATTTACTACATTAACATTTGCTGATCCTCATTAATTTCATTTTTTTGAGTTACCTAACAATTTAGTCTTCTTGAAATAAAAACATGAGAATCAAGGAACAAATTTAAAGTATTAATATGTAGTTAATAGTATTTAAACCTTCTTCTGGAACAAGACAATGAATCCTTTAATCGATGCAGCAAATGCAGTAAAATTATATCATCCATATCTCTCCAAAAGCACAAACTACTCGCTGGTGTTATAAAATGCAGCCAGATTTCTCTAACACCAGTTGGGAGATAAAGTATCAACAGCATAGACAGCTTCTCTTTATTTTTATTTCAAAAGCCAATGCAGCATAAATCGCAAAAAGTTCCAGGCATCTTAAGAGCAATTCATTTTAAGGAAAACTGCTTACCTGAAAGAAGACTCCATCATAGGTTTGCATTTATTTCTATTGACTGCTCAGATTTCTAGCAAGATTATGTGGTAAAAAGCCAGGAAGTCCTCCCAAGCAATCAGTAGATGCATGTCCAGAAGTACAGATTCTGGCAGATTTGGTTAGTTCCACTTATTCGCAATAATTTTTCTACATAATATTTTTCTGCAGAAATAGAATTCTAGTACATAAAGTGTGATGCCTTTACTGAGCCAAAACAATGTTTAAAAATAAAATAAATGTCTGCATCTCTGCCAATACAACCCATCAATGCAGACTACAGACTGTGAGTTGCCAGCCTAGGCAAGGAATTCTCTTGTGCCCCTTTTGCCCTTCCTAACTACTTGCTCAAAAGCACACTCATGCGAGTGGAGGTGCTTTGTAAACAGTTTAAAGTGTTACCATCCTCCAGCCACCAGTTTACAATCTTGTGGTGCAGGTTACTACAACCACACAAGACGGGTAGAACGGAACGTGCAAAAGAGTCCTCATCCCCATTCAAAGGATGGAAGCGGTTGGAGATGACACAGCTGATGGGGAAGCGCTCCCCGGTAGCCCAGCTGCAGGGGTGGCAACCTCTAGATGGTAGGACAAGACAAGCAGCTCTGTGTGGGAATGTCTTCATCTGCTCCAGCAACAGTTGGTCCACAAGATAAGCAGAAAAGAGGTAACTGGAGCTGGAATTAGCAAAAGCCATTTATCTCAAGTGTTCCAGTCGACTCCATGATAATTCTCCCTTGTGTGCGTGGTAATAATTATCTTAGGCACACACAAATGCAAAAGTCTGATACGCTCCTATTTAAGAGAATGTGAAAAGATAATATTCACTACCCTGAGCATTAAACTAATTGGATTACATTTAAAAAGTTACAAGCTTCGGGAGCTTTTAATTTTAATTCAGGCCATATAATCTCTCTTGTAATGTGTGATCAACTGGACTTTCTTCTGTACATGCTTGGTCTCTTCCACAACAGAGAAAGAGAAAAAAATATGTTGTATGGATTACTAGCCATGGTGTTATGGCTAGTCCATCTTTTACTACACCTTCAAATCCAAATCCATCTTTAATACCTCTCTACGTGAATGAAAGCAAGGAAAAAAGTGAATGAGTGTTTTTCAAAGTCTATGAGTGTTTTTCAACTTCTTACAGATGAATGTTTTCTACTTGCTGCAAGAAAACATTAAAAAACAGTATGATTTGAAAGTGTTCAAGAACCTTGCTGGAACTTTATGTCATTTGAAAAGCAATGAGACTTAAATGTGCACTTCATCCTTACCGGGACTTTTTTTGTGCAAGCATATGTTTTGAAGGAAACATGCATCAACTGTTTTCATTTATAGATGACTTTTTACCATATACGCTTGTTAGGAAACCACAATTTAATCTGCCTTTATCTGCAAGATCCAGACTGGAAACCACGGAGAACACCTGCCTTAAAAAAGTAAGCATTTAACTTTTTGAAGAGGGAACTGTACTGTTGACGAATGACCTCCGGACACAGCTCAGAAGTTATGCCTGTAAGTGAACAGTGCAAACCAAGCTTTTCATGCAATGATTACGGAAGCACCGGCACTGCAAGGGTCAGACATCTTACATTGGGAGAAGGATCCGTTTGTTCATATTTTGTGTCTTCCTTCCCATTTGCTTCAGACTGTTGCAGTTGGTATGATCTGCCTTCAATGAAAGTAATATAGTCTTTGTAAGAGCATAACGGGCCTGCCAGGATACCCATGAAATTACAGTTGTAACTTAAATACTCCAGTAGACTTGGCATGCGTCTGTAATTCAAAGACAAGCAACTCGTGAGATGGAATGTGTAGTTCTACAGAATTTCCACAGTAGGAAAAGTCATACTCCATGTCATTGCTTACTCTTACTGCAGTAAAAACCACATACAGAAAAGCAGTTTGTGTGTCTTTTGTAATCACAGTTTAAAACATTCTATGCATAGTATTTCTTTCCAATCCATACTGAGCATTTCCAGACAGTTCTGAACTCTACTGACTTTCTCCTTGCCCAGGAGAGGCATTTGAGCCCGGGGAAGGAGAAGGAAGGGTTTTTCCCTACGTGTTTGTTCAACTGTTTACATCTTCTTTTTTTCCCCTCAATAACTGAACCAGTAAACAAAGGTTTGTTTACACTGGTAATAATTTCAATTAAGGAAAATGCCTCAAGTCAAGACTGTTCTGCCCAGGGTAACATACTATTTTCAAGTCTCCTAAATAAAGAAATGAGAACAGGTAATCTAAATACTGAAAAACAGAATTAATCAGGCATGTTCCTTCACCAGCTTCTTCTTATGTATACTAAATGTTAACGAATCTCTTGTCTCATATGGCAGTAATTTGCATAGACTGCATAGAACTTCAAATGTTTTTCTTAAATAAGGATAAACCTACTTCTAATATCTTCCAGGAGAACAGATGTATGTATTAATCTACGAATATAAAAGGATAGATCTGTTTTAGATGACTTTGTAAACTCTCTATATCTTGAGTGTGAACTATAGCAATTCCACAGAGCATTAATAAAGCACACAAAACACCAGCTTCTCCCTGGCCCCAAAACTAGACTCTCAGTGATGTCTGAAAGCCTACCTTACAGCCAAGCACCTCTGTGATGGAGTCAAGTCTTCATTTTTCCGGAACATTCCTAGGGAAGAGGACAGGAAAAAGGAAAAATAAAGAAAAGCCAAGCTTCTACACATTAATTAGCAGTTTCTTCGCTCAGTAGAGCAAGCCTCATGCTGCAATATATTTTCTTAAGCCGTCATGTAATTTCAGAGGTATTATGCCACATAAAATTTTTGCTGGAGTTGGATCAAGCACTTCTTACTGTTGACAAAATTAAATTCTCATATCCTCAGTTATATCCAACAGCACCTAAACTTGAAATCACATGCATTTCAGGAAAGCTTTAAGGCGGCTCGTAATACGTGTTGACAAATACAGTTCCCCTGCATTGGTTAAGATTTCAAAGTCTGCAGGTTTTAAAATCCTTTATCCCCAAGTCCTGAAAACTGGACAAGCCCCAAACCTCTTTCAACATTGCAGTAACCCAGGGACATTACACTAGTCATTGTGCTTCTGATGTATAATAAGAACACAGTCCAAGACAGATTTAAGCAATTCAAGACTTAAGGCAGACCTCAAGAGCACCTTCATGCTGCAAGTAAAGGCTGTAAACAAGGGCCAGTGAAGCAGGCACAACAGCAAAGGGTGCTCAAGTCTTTTTTTCATAAGCACTAACGAGCAGCCCTAAGCCCTGCTAGCAGGAGGGGACAGGCCAAGGCTAAGCTCAGCAGCAAGACTGAATTCTTACAACATAACACTTTCTGAAATGCTGGTGGCCTACCTCTGAAAAATAGGCTTCAAAATTTGTACTCCCATAAAAGAGAAAAGAAATCAAACGTGACCTTCAACACTTTAAATCATTATAAAATACACTCATTCAAGGGCACAGAAGCAGCAGAGCTCCTTCCTTCAAACAGCCCTGGTTTATACCAGCCAGCACCACTTGCCAAAACGACTGCTCCAGCTCCTTCTGCAGCCGCTCCACTGGTTCAGGCATTAGCACATATATCCACCCCCTGCTATTCACATTTGCAAGTTTTCCTTGCTGTCACAAGCACTAAAAAAAAATTTATGAGCATAGCTTCCTAATGAAAATAAAGTTTATGGAATCTCCCTTCAATTATCTTCTTTCCTAGCAGTGCCTAAACCCAACAGCCAATTTCTAACCAAGTTTGATGAGAGAGTAGAGGCAATATAGATATGAAATTCCAATGTGCTTTATGAAAACAGGTGCTTCTGTAGAAGATCCTCCTCACAGAAAGGTTGCCTTCCAACCCATCCCTTGATGCCAGTAAATCCACAGAGGGGAGCCCTTATATTTGACTCGAGCACAAGGAAAGTTTTAACTGGAGCCAATTTTTTTTTTTTTTTTAGATATCTAAATCAGTCAGGCTTAAAACAAAGATTGGGGAGGGCAAAGTCAAACCTCATTTAATTCTATGACTCATGGAAATGCTTGCTATCTAATGAGAAGATAACTCTGTTGTCTTCATGCAACTCCAGGAATGGAACTGTGACCTATGCAAACTTGTGACTTTAAAACTGCACTTTTAGTCTTCAACAAAGCTGAGAATACAAAGGGGTCAGCAACTTCCCATCTTGTCTCTTCCAATACAACCTGAAAAAACACCTTTTTTGGTCCTGATTCTTCACAGTGGAAAGTCACGTCCATTTATACCCACCCAAGGCAAGAAACTGAAGGATAAAGCATCACCCCTAACTTAATGCAGCACTTTTTCTTCCCCATCATTACATTTTCACATCTTCTCCTCGGTGCTACAGCAACGATTTCTATGCTGATAGCTGTACTGAATAAAAAATGTGGGAGAAGCATTTTGGAAGATCCTTTAACTTTTAAGCCCATAAGATTACAGTATTCAGGTAGTAGATCTTGAACTTAACACCAAGGTAAACAGAAATTTAACACAAAGACTCCTATAGCTAGACATAGATCACACGACATGACTAGAGCAGGAAAGTAGCCCATTGAGAGCCTTCAGTCTCTCACAGCTCGTACAATGCAAACTGACCGGAGAAGGAGCCTCCTTCACTGGCATATTTCATATGAGTATTTACCCTTAAGTCAGAAAGTGGAAGCAGTCACCAAGTGTGTCCAAATGAACTTGCATAAAGCTAGTTCACTAACCACGAAAGAAAAGGTAATCAGTCAAATGAAAAATTTCACATCATGTATGTGGTAATAAAAAGGAGGAAAAACCCTCAAACCTGAAATAGAGGAATCTAACCACTGAAATGTGACCTATACTTTTGTAGGGGCAAGGAAGAAAGAATTGGCATATTTTAAATGGTTCAAGTTATACACATATATACATAAGAAGTCACTTAAGGCCTAAATAAACTGGTGAGCAATACATGTGCTGTCTCAAACACACCACATACAAGACTCCATTAATTTTTCATTTCCATATCTCCCTCCAGCCAGCAGCCTCCTTGAGGTCAGTTCAGTGGCTTTACCTGTTTGTTTGGGGGTTTTTTTTTGTGTGTGTGTGTGTTCTCAGTACCTCGAAGGCCCATTTACCATCTTTGCATAGCACACAAGAACAAGGAAACAATCTCTACCTTTGTCATACTCTTGAAAGCTTTCAGGAAGCTTTTGTTAACTTTTTAATTCACAGAAAATGCATATGGAAGAGGTGCTCTTACACCGATGCTTATCTGAGATGAATGAATATATATTCACATTCAGTATTTCCCAGGCAGTGCATCTGCCCATGGAACAGAGGCCTCGTAACCCATAGCTGTTCCCTACCTACTACACACTGGAGATGAAGAAAACCCAATTCAGCAGCACGTAGCTGCTAGGGAACTCATGAAGTTTTGTAACCTTTCTCTGGGGATTATGAGAATTGTTTTCTCCTGTCCTAAAACAGGAGACAACTGCAATGGCTGCAGCTTTTAGTTCCTACCAAATCACACAGTGGGGATTAGAGAAAATGGGTTTTATTGAACACCTGTTAGAGAGGTGAAATCATTTGGTCACTGAGTAACTATAACTCAGTTTTCTCATCTGTAAAGGAAGAAACACTCCTGTGTTCCTTCCTTGCTAAAGTAATTTTGTAAATCATCAGTAACAAAATTTATCCCTAGTGGTCTAAGATCATGAGGAAGTTGCACCGTTTCATTCCTTCTCAGGAGACCACATCCTAATGGTAACTATATCAACATCTTTAGGTACACACCAATATCCTGCCATAGACTTTATTAAAGGCATATTATGACTCTGACTGTGATAATACAATGTTTACAATGATATCATTGCACCACCCCAGCTTTGCAGTTGATCTGCTTGAATATATCCACCTTTGTATTTGCATGAAATCTGGCTAATCAGTAACTCATTAATAATGCTTAGACATAAGCATTATATTATATTAATAATACTTAACATGGAGATCATATCACAGGCTCTGTTGTAATTACAGTAAATTTTAATTTGAGGTTCTGAAATGGATCACCAGCTGAGCCCAAATGCATCTTAAACTATTTAAGAGCTGAAGAAGACAGACAGACAATAACAGTTTCAGTTGTTACTAGCACATTGGCAGCAACAAAAGCAAAGAGACACAGATGCCAGCTGAGTAAAATCACAAAGAATCACAAAAAGCAAGAAGAATCAGAAGTCTTGATATCCAGAGAGCCGTGCAAGCAAACACAGGCCCAAGACAACACTTGAAGACTTAAGAGGAAAGAAATACAATATCATTTCTTTAAATACTAATGACATGTACTGTAATCAAAGTGATTTGATAACTGATGCTGAAACAATAATGACCATGCTGTCACTAACACAAGAGGGAGCACTCAAAAAAATAATATAGATAGATCAAGAGACAACTGGAGAGAGAGCATTAAAACAAAGTCCTGGACACAAGAAGAAAGCATCAAGTTACCAGAAAACTCAAATACGCCCACACACCACCACACTGTGGCAGTTTCAGTGACATAATTAACAGAGGAAATAGAAAACAACAGTCCCGCTTAAGCAGCTGCAACTTTCTTGCTGTAACACCAGCATTTATAAAGGGGAACTGGGTCATGATGACCTATCAAAACCCCTGAAGAGTATTTAGTTCTATATACGTAAGTGCACAATTCTCCATCTCAGGAGCTGTTCACTTCTCTTGCTTATACTTTCACAACAGCAAACATCGAATTATACTTTTAATGACATAATAATAGTACCACCTACTTGAAATCAGAAAAGCACACTGATAGTTTATGAGACCATTATTTTCATAAACTTAAGAACACTCTTAACTGGTCACCTCTCACTACAACAACAAAAAAAAAAAACCACAAACCAGAACCACACTTAATCACAAAAGTAATTTGCCAAAACACAGTATGTTCCCTTTCCCCATGGGGTCACATTGTGATGGTCAGTAATTCAGCCTGGTAATCCCACTCTGATTTTGTAAGTATTTATATAAAATAAATTTGAAATATCACATGTAATGTACAGAAATACACAAACTGTTCAACACTTCAGTACATTCACATTTCCACCCTTTAAGCAAAAGCAGACCAACGCTAAAGTTGTCTGCAAGCCTTTAGAAAGAGGTAGTGTCTTTCTGCTGAATACGGGAATTATTTGCCTTTGAGAAAAGTAAAAGGCAAAGAATATAGCTAACTGAAAATAAAGAAGAAACGTTTATATCAACTAAATCAAGAAACATTCTTCAATACTTCTGACACTGTTACATTGTTCCAGAACAGCTAACGCCAGTACTACTAACATAAGAGCAGGAACTGCAGTTTGGAGATGGGACTGCTAGTAACTGCAAACCAACAAGAAATTTACTTTCAAATTAAAAAACAAACAAACAACAATTACAAAAAAAGCATTGTCAGAAAAACCTCCCAAGTGTACCGTGTAGTACCACAACCTGATGTAGCAATAGCAGGTAGCAATAGGTAATTACGACCATAGCAACTAATACAGTGTTTGTGCATAAGTTTCTCCAACATCACCATAATTTCTTTTTCCTCATCTCCATTTTCCATGTATTTCATCCATCCATTGAAATATCTCTCCTCTCAGGGGCCATTCTGGACAGAGACTGTACTTTCATTATTTTGCAGAGGAAAATAGACTCTAATAGCCTATTTGGAAACCTTACAACTTTGTAATAGTACAATAACTATTTGAGGAAAAAAGCATAAAATAATTCAGCCATTGTCCTAATAGCCTGCTGTTGGAGCAAAGTAAATGAGATCTAAAATACTGGTGTAAGACAAGCATTTAACTATATTTCACTAATGCATCACTCAAACTAAAATGCAGAGGTAAAAAAAAATAAAATCCTTCAAGTTGCATATTCACTATACTCTTTATATCATTTCAGTTCTCACAGTAAATGCAGCATCAATGTCTACTCTAATGCTTTTAAAAATTGAGAGCTCCAGATACATAGGAAGAAATACTAATTAAGAAAAAAACGCCAAGCAGCATTCCAGGAAAAGCACATTTAGAAATTAGCAACTACAAGGCTGAAACTAAAGGCACAAGGGAGGGAGACGGGGAGACAAAGTTTATTTCTTTGTGCTCAGAAAGCAAGCAAGAGAAGCCCCTGGGAACCAAGAAGCAGCTGACAGAAGAGTGTTGTGGTTCTGGTTTCTTACCTGTATCTAGCCACACATTTTTATGGACAATTGCAACATAGTAATATTAAGAAATAATTTTATTTTGTTTAGTAGATAGTTTTTACATTTTTAAAATGGCTTTTTTTTTCTTTAAATTGTAATGTATTATTTAGTTCTTATTAGAGAAAAGAAATAAGAACAAGGTTGGAAGAAGCTGCAAGAATTAATTTTTTTTTCCTTTAAGATATCACATATCAAGTTTAAAGTTCCCTAGTTTTGCTCGCTGAATCTCTTGGAGATTTAAAAATAAATACATTATGAGCTCCAGAACTTCAATGGGTTACAAACATAAATATTCGAAGAGGCTCTTTCTTTAAGATTCACTAAGCACCAGCATTAAAAACAAGCTGCCAAAGCACATACAAATTAGTGAGGTTAGATTTGGATATGGGTCTTTCCTGTGAAGGTCCCTGATCTCGTACAGAATTGCAGTAAAATGAGCGAGGCTCTGTGGGGATGAGTGGGTTATAAGCAAAAAACCAGAGAATGCTGTATGAACTCATTGCAAGACTCAGAATTAAGCAGTGGCAGTCTCTCTTCCTCTCCCCTGCTTAACTTTTAGTACCTTATGGATATAATTGCAAAAGCTTCTCTACTTGCCACTATCTCTGATCTAGAAATTTCTTATGCAAGTACAATCTCTATTTTATAGCCATTCTAAACTACGCCTGTAGACAAGCCCCCAGCTTCTTGAACAACTGCAGTGCACCTTTCCTTCTCCAAAATATGCTAGCTTTAAATTTGATTATAAAAAGATACTCTACAATATAGATTCTGAGGTACAAAATATTCTTTTTCTCTCTTAACGCTGTCATTAACCTGAGATGTTGCATAAATAAATTTGAATCTTGCCATAAAGAATGAATATGGACACAAACAGTTTCCAAATCATGTAAAAACGCTTCTACCTTTCGAATATACATGTGTGATGCCAAAGGTAATCAGCAAGAAATACAGAGCAAATCTTAGCATACTGACTACTCATTTCCAGCAATGCTCATTTGAGTAACGAGGCAAGAACTAGCAAGGGCTTAAGTTCAAAATGTAAAGCAGGTGTAAATTTGTGATCCATGCAACCTTCTGAAAAAAATCAGTATTATACAGCAAGCTTAAATTCATCCTATGCAGCTTGCATAGAATTTTCCTGCTTAAAAAAGCCCACACTAAGTGCACAGGGTTGTAACAGTTATAGGGGTAGTTATTTATTTATGGGATTCTGTGCTCATGTTCAGCTTGGAGTCAAGCACATCCACTTTGCTAGACAGACTATAACACGTAGCACGAGTGCATGGCCTTAATGGCATCCAAGTCTCTCCAGGACCTTCAAATGTAACACTGAAACCACAACAAACAGGCTGCCAGGAAAAAAAATCAGGTCCAGAAGACTTGCCTTTACCACAAAACCAACCTAACTATAACTAGAGACTTGAAGCCTACCAAGATCTTCCAACAAACCAACACCTTCCTTTCAGCTGTTTATTTTCATTACCTCTCCTTTAGACGTACTGGTAAAAAACGAGGGGGGGCAAATAAAGTAATTGATGATTAATATAGCCAAGCTGATGTGACTAGAGGCTCAGAGTGTCATTAACTAGTATAATTTTCAACATTATCTCCTCTCCCATCAGTATATCTCAAAGTATTTTCCAGTGAAAGTATGGACCTTTGTACAGTGAACAAAAGCCCATTAACAGCAGCCTTGTTTTCATTAATTTCTCATGATGGATTCCTTTTAAGTTGTCTATGGTTAAAAAAATCATTGCTTTAATACAATTCATTTCCCTTACACATCTTTTCTTAGCATCTCCTGACACCAGACTAGCAGCTGCTCCTGAATTCACACTGGTCATATCAACTTTTGAGAGTCATGTTCACACTGTGCTCCCAGCAGCAGCAATCATTCAACTCAAGTCAAGAACTCTGCTAAACTGCAAATCCAACCAGAGAGAAAGCTCTCCAATATATTATCAGCTACCCACCACAGGCTGGCAAAGACTCTAAAGGATCTCTGATATGAGGTCAACACTGAACAAAATTTCAAGATTGATACTCAGAATTTCTGGCTGTGTCGTTGAATTAAGATGGGCTTACAAGGAAAATACAAGTTTTCTGAATTAATTGAAATAGGAAAAAATCTAGTTTAGTTTGTGATGAAAGAATACCAGTGATTAAAGGAAATATTTGTTTCAAGATTTCCAGGAACGCTCACATGTTTGTCCCATACCACAACTCCACTATTTGTGCAAGACGTCAGCAAATGGAGAATAGCTCCTCCCCCTAACAAAATGATAGTAAGAGGAAGCATTTATCTTTGATAGTGGAATTATTACTTCCTTATAATAAGCTGTTTCCTCTAACTTATGTACTCTGTACTCTAATGATATTCATGAATGTTGTTGCCTACAGGCTTCTCTAGACAGTGTAACTTAACAAGACTGGAAACCAATGCAACACCAACAGCACTAAAGCTAGGACGCACGCGAGACAAAAGCATATTGAGCTCCCTACATAATGTTACTACAGAAATTTCAGAAAAACAAGTGGCTTGATCCAGGTGTCTGGAGGGATTCACTCCCAAATCTTCAACAGACAGCTGTAGCTCCAAGTGATTCAAGGTAATTGGCTATGTTTATTGGATAATGTTTTCAAACCTTAAAAGTGAAAATTACTCCTTTGAATTTAAAGGTAACTAAAAATCCAGATACCCTACCCACAAAAGCCAACATTAGGATTCATTTCTGTCACAACTAGGGCCCACTTATCTGATGGATAAGTCTGACAGGAGAAAAGACAGAAACCTAATTAGATAATGCCCCGGTTCACACTGACATGTTAGCAGCAAGTATAATTATGATAATAAAAGAAATTAAACGTATACAAAGGTGTTCTAAAAATCAGTATACATGGCACAAATTAGGGGGAGATTAACAGCATTTTAAAACAAGAGTTGCTCAACAACTGAAATCACGTGTACTTGGTTCTGTCAGAAACAGTGATCTCTGGATTTGGAAATGACCTAGCTAACTCTCAGGATCAGTACCCCAATCCCCAAAAATGTCAGTGGTCTTTGGTCACTAGTCCCAGAAGCGTCATTGGTCTTCTGAGAAGTAGTATCTTCTGCACAGTGTAAGCATTTTCAGAGCTTTTGCAGTGTCTGAGCAATGCTTCTCGGTACTTCCAATTTCACTGAATTTCACTGAATTTCTAGAGTTGGAAGGGACCATAGAGATCATCTAGTCCAACTCCCCTGCTGAAGCAGGATTGCCCAGAGCTAGAGCATGTTACTCAGGACTGCATCCAGGCGGGTTTTGAAAATCTCCAAAGAAGGGGACTCCACAACCTCCCTGGGCAGCCTGTTCCAGGGTTCCGTCACCCTCACCGTGAAGAAGTTTCTCCTCATATTTGAGTGGAACCTCCTATGTTCCAACTTGTGCCCGTTGCCCCTCGTCCTCTCGGTGGGAACCGCTGAAAAGAGTCTGGTAAGCATCAAGACAGTCAACTGAGACACAAAATTATATTTTGTTGTAAAACACAAGCTGGACTAAACTCACTCATTGACTCATGACTAACTTTCCTTCAATTTATTTTGTATGGAAAATTAAACACAGTTTAAAGAATTCTTACCATCATGAATCTCAAAAGCCAAACTAGTGATCTTCTGTGTGATTATCATCATTGGACTGTTACAAAAAAAAGGAAGAAAGAATAATTTAGAAAAAAGTTCAATATTTTCTTTCACATGTAAATATCAGGGAAAGTTTACACTAATAGTCCATGTTAATTATTCTCAACTGGAAAACTTTTAGTACAATGGCAAAGTGATTTGTTTTTGGAGCTGAAACCATTACAGAGTCATCAATACAATGAAAAGAATTTAATCCTTAGTTATAGCACTTGATGACTCGTGCCTTTTATTGCTGCATTAGGTTCCACAAACACAGTCAAAGTGTTCCATATTTATTTTCTACTAAGATAGTTACTCTTTTTTTTTTACAGTGGGAAGAATAAAGAAAAAAGGGCAGTAAGAGCAATTTTATGCATTGCAAATTACAGCAGCAGTGTTACTCTTTTTTTTTACAGTGGGAAGAATAAAGAAAAAAGGGCAGTAAGAGCAATTTTATGCATTGCAAATTACAGCAGCAGTAAGCAAAAACAATAAAAATATACCAAAGTTGAACAGTGTTATTATTTAGATATGCAGACCACTTCCACGGTTTCTACTAACACCTGGTCCTATGCTTAATTCTTCCATCTATTATTATTATTTGCTTCAAGTAAACATATCTGGCAAAACAAAAACCCAGCATAATTATGCTGGCTCCAACAGAGTTTAGTTTGTTTTGAATTTTGTACACTTGAGCGGATCTTAAGCTGTCCAAGAGATATTCTTCCCCAGCTAAGCAAGTCAGCTTTATACTGAGAAATCATACCATCTTCATAGTATCTAAGAGTTTGACTGATGTAAATCCCAGCATTGCTAAGCCCCTAACTGCAGGGAGGGAGGGCATGGGGGAGAGCATAAATTAGGCTGCCAGAATTTAAAGTTTAACTTCAAAATCAGATCTCAAAAATGTACAGAGACTGTATTTTTCTGAGCTGGAGACAAAAAAAAAAAATCACAACAAAATAATCATACTGTAGGTTGGACACAGTTTTGTTTAAGTCTTTTGACTACACTTGCCTTTTTTCAACATATTTAAGTTGGCATAGAAAAACAATTCCAAGAGCCATCAAGTCCTCCTCCATTGACAGTGCTACACCAGTATTTTGCCAGATGGCTCAGTCTGTCAAATTAATTTTTTTAGTTTCTTGTTATTTCAAAGCACATGATATTTCCAGTACTTAAAATGCAATCAGGGAAAAAGTTCTTTTTCTACCATATTATCAGTGAGCCAAAATCTTGATATCAAGACTAGAGTGGGGGGGCAAGAGTCAATAAGGAAGAAAACTAAACAAGACAAGACAATCTGGGAAATCCCTCATATCTTTTCTAGCATTTAATCTGTAGACCTGCCTGGTGCTGGCATAAATCTCCAATTGAATCTGAAGTTCTTCTGTAAGTGGACATGTGACAGCATAGATTCTGCCTGGTGGAAGGATGGAGCCCAGGAGGAGCTCAGTCAGACCTTACATTAATTCTAGCTGATTCATCTGTCATTGTTATCATCACAGACCCTGGTATTTTTCATTTCCCCCTCCCTCCCTCCCCCTTTCTCAAGTGGCTATTCCAGTATCTTCAGAGATTTGGCTGAGGAACAACAACCTAGAGACTAGAAGAGTCCCTTCCTGGATCAGTAAGGCTGTGAACCAGGATTTTAATGATCCCTTTTAGGTGCTGGCAGAGAGGCAAAGGAGGCGGTGGAAGGCTCGCTGGCAGCTGGGATCTGTTCGTACTGAAGCCAGGACCACACAGCTCTGCACAAGCAATTGCACCTCCAGCAGGAGGTTTCCTCAGCTTTCTCCACTGCCAGTACATCAATACCTTCCTTCAACACCTTTTACAGATTCCCTGGCCTTGGCCACTTCAGATGGGCATGGCACACAGAGCAGCACTATCTAGATAAACAGATACTCAAAGCTTTTTGGGGGCTAAACACTATATGAATCCATGCCAACGTCTTTGGAAGAAGTAGCTGGTGCTGGGGTTCAACAGCTAGTTAGGCAAATATTACTTTCTTGAGTTTACTCTCCTCCCCTGAAACTAGAGAAAATTGACAGAAAATAGCCCCCCCTTTGGCACATTATCTTTCTCCTCCTCTCCTCTGTGTCTAAGGCCTCAAGGGAGCAGATGTAGTGTATGCCAGAGATTTAATGCAAAATGCATACATCAAGCTCCCAAACAGGTACATGAAAAGGATGGTTTCAATCAGGCAGCTCAAACATACCATCAGAGAAGTTGGACCTAGGCTTCGGAACAGTTCTATCGAGGGCACAGATCTCCCAAATCTATGGATGTATTTACACCCAGCAGGTATCTCTGAGCTAACACCAAACCAACAGAGCCCCAAAGACAGCTGCTATGTGTGAGCAGAGCATTTGTGCAATGCTCAAGCTCTATTAATAGTTTGAGAGCAACAACAAGTACAATTATCCTCTTTCCAGAATCATCTCAGAGCTTTGATCACTGTCAAGGTTCTACACTCTGGCCCTACAGTGAACTGGAAGGGACAGCATTCGCACTACAGTTCCACTTGTAAAGGTGAAATTTTATTCAACATCAGTAAACCTAGTTTTTAAAGTGTCTTCATGCATATGTCTATGTTGCAAGCTCTCATTATAGCCAGTGGGGATGTAGTCAATACAGTCAGGGGCATCTGGCAAGTGACCCAGTTCACGCTAAGGTAGATACTGAGCGGTGGGTCAGCTGAAATGTCCTCCAGGCTCTACTGTCTACTTCGATCAGATCTCCACTGACTACAATCAGAACTCTGATATCTGGCTTGAAGGCAGACATTTGGATGTAGACATAAATGTAAAAAGATGTTTCAGAAGGTAAGACCCAGCTAAAAATGACAGAAAAGATGAACTTAACCAAAAAAGCATTTGGCCAAGTTTCTGTAATATGTGCCTGTTACCAATGAAGACTAACAAACAACAAGGCTAACAAGTACAACTCTGCTGCACAACACAGGGAATATTAAACTACAAAGACCACTACCAGTCGTCATATTCCAGAAAAGTATTTAAGGCATTCTTTTAAACAGACTAGGAAACACTCCCTCATCTCTTTTTTCCAAAATACATACTCTGCTTTAATTTTAAAAAAAAGCACCATCAGCAGCAAACTTATTTATAGGAAATGTTGTGCCTCGCTTCTCTGTGTCTGTAGTACAAAGAAGAATCACGAATTTTTACTTTGCCTGTTAAATTCTGGGTTGCTCAAGTCAAGAGCTCAAGTCAAAAACAGGTTTAAGTTCATTACATAAAATGAGAACACAGACAAAACTCTCTACTTCCAAGGCCTGTGCGACTATTGCACCACACAGGTGCCTCTATCCTTTCCTCCTCCTTCTGGAAGATTTTACATAAAAATCAAAAAAAGAAAGAAGTCAGAAGATAAATTCCATAAAACATTCAGATTTTCCTCAAAAGGTGGTATCAGACTGTGGGAGGCTGGCAAGTACATCACATAAATTCAAGTTTCATCATGTAATCATGGAGGGGAGATTTTAGGGGAAAAAGTAAAAGCAAAAAATCCCACAGCCACCAAATCCTTTATGCCCTTCAGACAGGAACAGGAGGCAAGAGATAACTCAGTCGTGGTTCTAGCAGCCACAACTGTTCCTAAAATTCTCAGTTTGCATGATTAAAGCATAGATACGTATGTATTTGTATGTGTGCCAGTATGCACACACATGCCCAGCTTTCTGCCAAAATTTAAAAGGTTGACACACTTAACTTGGAAAAAACCAAACCAACAATAACCAAAACAGTATCACTTAAGAGGAAAAGATGGAAAGATTGTTTTTCTCCTTACCCAGAAAAATCAGCAGAATACTGTCCATAATCAAAGATATAGACTCTAGTAATTTGGCACACAGTGAGGTATCCCAAAGCAAAAACAAAGCAATACCTGGAAGGAAAATGGAAAAAACAAAAGCTTTTCAATTAAAACCCATAAACATTTCTCCATTGAATAGACTGCCTTATGTAGAGTTTAATCTCCAATTATTTCTAGTGAACATTGCATAACTGAAGTGTGTAATAACACCTTCATTCTGACTTTTTTTCGGTAATATTTATTCTATGAAAGCACATAGACATATGTTTTTAGAAGTGTGCAGTGCTAACTTACAAATTCTATTGTCATGAGCCAAAATATTTATTCACATTAATAGAGCACAGGATTTATAATTTCAAGCACCACTGTAAAAACCAGAAGTCCTATGAAGAAAAAATGGATCTTTTAAGGTGTTTTTTTTTTTTTACTTCAATGTTAATTTTTGTCTATATGAGTATAGAAATTTGGAAAATTATACATCAAACGTAATTTGCATTGAATGTATTTCTATACATTTAAAATTCAGCACCACAAATCCCATTGTTGCTGTTTTAAAAGGAACTGGAAAAGGCAATCGATTTTCATACATACACATTAAAATATCTGAATGAAAAGGAAACAAGATGCCTTTACACCTCCTGTTAAAGGTAGCCCTCAGCAATTGTAAGAAAAACACCAATAAGAACCACCTTATGTTAGTATTATAAATTTAATTTCACATATAATTTTTTCAGGTCGGGGTTGGGATTTCCCCTCTCTTTTGAAGATGTACAACAGTAGACTAGTGAGAATTGATTTGCCAATGCACCTCACAAAGCCTGTCAAATATTCGTTGCAATCAAAAAGGATGGTGAATCCCAGCAGGAGCTTAACTAATCCTTTAGGACTTTTCATATGAACTTCACAGTCTTGAACATTTCTACATAACTTCAGAAACACTTATGGTAATGAAATTAAGCACTTGTTTCGTGTTCACAAGACTAATGTGCAACCCCTACCGCAAGTCATGTTATACATTCAAAATCCAGTTAGAATGAAAATATTCATACACCAAATTGAAAATCATGACTAGGACAGGATTTAGGTGAAATAGTGAAGCACACTACAGGGACACCTCACAACATACTCTTCCTTTCTTTTCCAATTACTGTTGCAAAAAAAAAAAAAAAAAAAGTTAACATAATCAATTCTATAGTCTTAGAAATTATTCTTCAATCTGAAAGTGATATCTATTTTTGCATTGTTTTCCCTTATTTTCCAATTACTGTGTAAAAAAAAAAAAAAGGTTAACATAATCAATTCTATAGTCTTAGAAATTATTCTTCAATCTGAAAGTGATATCTATTTTTGCCACAGTTTAACCTTTAGTTAAGCATTGTGCTAGATATAAACAATTTAATATTTTAAAACATCCAACTTTCAAATTACAGATTACCTTAAGTATCAGTAGCTACATTGAACCACACCTCATGAATATTAGTAATCCAGAAACTATATTATATTGCATGGCTAATTGGTACAAAAGTGCTTATAATACAAATCAAACAAAATTATACAATAATTGGCTCATAATTATACCAAATTATTTCAGCAAGAAAAACAATTTCACACAAGTAGTATGTAGTGGACTGCGGGCACCAAGAGTATGATATAATGTAGAACTCATTTTAAAAAAATTTGGAATTAAAATTTTCCTGAGATATTTTAAGAAAAACTACCCACCCACCCCCAAATAAACAAACATCCAGGTTTCACATGAATGAGCAGTACGTGGGTTTGGTTTGCCCACGCTGAGATCAGTCCCAGTTCTTCCATTCACTAAACAATCAGTATGATTTTCAGCTTTACCAGCCTCTTGATTTATGTACTAAACAATCCAAGATCAAAAGTATCATATCCACCCATAGATACTACACTAAAAACCCACAAAAAATTAAAAGACTGTAGTTTTATTTAAGAGAAACTCATTTTATCCCCACTGGCAAGATCATGTATTTGTCAACAGTCTGTTTACAGGATATTGGATAGGTCTAGAATAAACAATTACAAAAGTGACAGTAACTACAGCTTTCATAACTTCAAATGCTCTCCATAGCAGCAATACATACTTCATTAGGACACGAGACACAGTACATTAGAGGATTAGGTACACACCCTCAAGAAGGAAGAAAACACACCAGTTTCTACCTCATACGGTTTATCATGTAAAACATTTTAGCATCAGGGAATGTGATAACCAGGGCTGTCTGTAAAGCCCTGCTGCAGAGTCTCGTTTACGTACGTTAATGCAAATTTATGACTGGATTATGTAAGGATTGCAAAGAATAGTAACCTGGATGTTGATCAACATTTAAGAACGTGAAAGGCGAAAACACTGTTGTCACCGGGACTCAAAGAATGGTTGAGATTGGGGGGGAGGGACCTCTGGAAGTCATGGGATCCATCCCCCCTGCTCAAGCAGGGCCATGTCTCTGTGTATCTCCAAGAAGGAGACTCCCCAGCCTCTCTGGGCAAGCAGTGCCACTGCCCGGTCACCATCACAGCAACCAAGTCTTTCCTCCTGCTCGGACAGTTTGATACTGCACTAAGTGAAACCTACTGTTTCAAAATCATATTTGCTTTATGTACAAGTGAGAAATACGCCTTTCTAACATGACACAACCTGGTATTATTACGTCAAAGCTTGACGTTCAAATCTAAGTAGGATAATTATACATTGCCATGTGGAAGATCAATGAGTCTATGTCAAACAGGAAAGCACTATTATACACTTTGCAAAGGCAGAGCAACAATTAAGTACTGTTTGAAATGGCTCACAATAAAACCAGGCTTGTTTCTGGACTGAGATACAGCTGGTTTTACCATTAGCAATGTCAGTAAAATAAATCACAAGAAACATATGGCAAAACTTAGGAAATAAGTGGCCAAAGTAAATATAATTAATTCCCTAAAAGTTTATTACATCGATAAAAATGAAAATCAGCATCAGGTCAGGGTAGAAGAACCACAGCAGTATGTTAGATCAGGTGGTGTTTTCCAAACAACACCAAATGAACACGGATGTTTATCCACCTTTAAAAAATATGCACCAAACCCCACAGAACTTTTGCTTTCACTTCCTTTATGCATTTTGAAAATACCCACAGTTTGCAATTCATAACGTACTATCATTTTGTAATAGGATCTTACCTGACAGTTAACTTCTAATTATTTCTAAAATATTTTATGATTTTTCATCTTACCAATGAATCAACTTTAATTTCCCTGTTAGTACTTGAGAAGAGTTGGGGGGAGTGGGTAGTTTTACAAGGTTCAATCCTTTTAACAGAATAATAGATGGCACCTTATTTGGGGTGGGACAGAGCTTTCCCAACATCTTTAAAAGGAGAAAACATCATTTGCTATGACACTTGAGCAGGAGCCCACTGGCACCTTGCCTTGAGGAAAGCCAGAAACATCTATCAGATCCAGCATCTGCTATTCTTCCCAATACTCTCTTCCAAAACCAAAACTTTGCTATGAAAAGTCAATTTAGAAAGAACAGCAACAAAACAAAGACATCCTTTCTTGCCTTCATGTTTATACAGCATTTCTCTGGTTTTGGTATCTGCTGACCAAACTGTCAGTCACCTGGGTACTTCCAGATACCCTTCAAAATAGATGTTAGTCATCACGACCTAGATAAGTGGATTTCTCACAACATTCAGTTAATATCCACACTGAAGATACAATGCAGAAATGGAAGAAAAAACCCCACCTTAAACTTCTTGCTGAGATTCCAGATTCCATTTCACAATCTAAACCAAAAGCTGTCTTCCCACAGAGCAGTGAAACTCACTGATATGTTGTGTTTAAACACAACTACAAATTTTAACTGTCTTCCAACTATGTCAGCCACCAGCTCCAAGTTACACACAGCTTGGAAGACTTCAATTTTTTAACTGATGAGGAAAACACAGGAACTTGCGACTTTCAAGTGCATCTCTGCACATTAGCTGTGCCACATCACATCCCCTGCTGGTGAGAAATGTCATCTAAGCAGGGGAAGTACAGCAGCATGTTCTCTCCAAAGGAGATGCAAAAGTTTATGTCAGCTTGCCTCATTACTGTTGTTTCTCCTGCAGGTTTGTGGTGCAACTTCTGATCATCTTGACTCTTGTACAAATCCAGCTTTGCTTAAAAAAAAATCGAGAGAGCTGAAAATGCTTTGAAAACTTTCTTAAAAGTACTCTTACTGCATGTTTCCTACCCTCTTCAAATGCTCATTCATCAAAAACACCCCTTAGATCAGAAAAATGAGTAAGATTTTGCAGAGCTCAACCACATGAAGTTTTACCCAACTACAACAAAATGAGTTACAGGCTGTACACGAATGCAACAGCTTTACCCAAGGCTACATTTTCTCCTCCAGTAGAAAACCAATTAGTCTTAAAAGTCAATGTTACTCTATACCTGCTACTTAGTGAGTAATGTTCTTATGAGCAGAACCACAGAAGTAATTCACACTGGACATGGACAACTAGAAGCAAGTCACAATATTGTTATTATTACAAATAACTTTAAGACAAACCAACCTGTAATGAACGTTGTACTATATACAATAAAAAGACAGACAGACATTCTTTGAGAATATATTTGAGTCTAATTCACAGGATCTTCATCAAAATGACCTTACTTTATCTATCAACAGATGCAAAGTCAGACATGTCTGGGAGACACTGCAGTAATAAAGTAGCAGAAAGCAGAACAGATTGTATGATGTGTCTAAATTCTCCATTAAAGTTAAAAAAAAAACAACAAGCAAACAAACAAAAAGCCCTACAAACAAAATCCAACCCAAAATAGATTTTAAGCAAACAATACAGGATAATTATACAGGAGGGCTTTTCTTGTAGAAGTCTGCCATATTATGTTTCAATTCCTTACTAATTTGAACTTCCCAGAGCACTAATATTAAATATATATCATTATATATATATATATATATTGTTCCTTTAAAAAGAAATGCGTCAAGTAAACTAACCAAAGTGTTTTTAAAAAGTATATTCTAGCATATTATACATAAAATACAA